AAGAAAATATGCCAAAAAAGTTATCCCTGAGCCCGGCGGCTGTGGCTCCCGCCTGTCATCCTAGCTACTCAGGAGGCTGAGATCTAAGGATCACAGTTCAAAGCCAGCCAGGGCAAGAAAGTCTATGAGACTCTTATCTCCAATGAACCACCAGAAAACCGGAAGTAGCACTGTGGCTCAAGTAGTAGAGCATTAGCCTGAGCTGAAGAGCTGAGGGACAGTGCCCAGGCCCAGAGTTCAAGCCCCACAACTGACAAAAAAAAAAAGTTTGCCTTGCTTACCCGGGGCTGGTGGGAACAGGCTGAGATGGATTTGTTGGTGCTTGCCCGCCATTTTCTTTCAGCTAGATCACTCTTCTATCCTTGTGACTCCAGCGTGGCACCTCGTTCGCTTGGCAACAGGTCAAGTAGAGGGTGGAGGGCACATTGCTCCAGCAGCCACGGCCCTTCTCTGAGAATCCTATGTGAAACTGGGGGCATCTCTCCCACTGGGCTTAGCGGGGAAGCCAGGGCTGCCCCTCCCCCACCCCGTTCTCTGTCTCTCTCCCCTGTCTGGCCAGCAGAGGAAAGGGGAGATCAAGGCAAGGAGCAGCCAGGTCCCCACCTGTGGTTCACATCTGTAATTCTAGCTACTTAGGAGGCTGAGGTCTGAGAATTGTGGTTCAAAGCCAGCCTGTACAGGCAACTCCACAGGCTCTTATCTCTAATTAATCACAGAAAAAGCCAGAAGTGGAGCTGTGGCTCAGGTGGCAGAGGGCTAGCCTGGAGCAAAAGGAGCCCAGGGGCAACACCCAGTCCCAGAGTTCAAGTCCTAGGACTAGCAAAAAAAAAAAAAAAGTGGGGGTGGGGGGCAAGGAGAGTTGTGAAGAGAAAGAAGGCAACCCCTCTGCATTAGGTCTCTGGTTCCAGTCTCCAGCCCTGGGTTCTTGTGGTTTTCCCTCACTCCTGGGCCAGCTTTGGCGAACTATAAATTCTTCTCTGCTAAAGCTGGTTTCAGTCTGGGACTCTGTTACTTGGCACCACTCAGATTATTTCACTTGAAGGCAAGTGCTAGAAAGGAACTTTTTGTGATCTAACCATTTTATGTAATTTTCCTACAGTGATCATGTCTTCCTTGTTTAGTAGAAATATTTTTACAGGGTACTTGAGGGTGGGCAGGAGAATCATTTGAGCTCAGTTCAAGACTAACCAGCCTAGGCAAAACAGTGAGATCTCATCTTAAAAAATTTAAAAAAAGCCGGTGCCGGCGGCTCATGCCTGTCATCCTAGCTCCTCAGGAGGCTGAGATCTGAGGATCACAGTTCAAAGCCAGCCGGGGCAGGAAAATCCATGAGACTCTTATCTCCAATTAATCCCCAGAAAACCAAAAGTGGCGCTGTGGTTCAAGTGGTAGAACACTCACCTTGAGCTGAAGAGCTGAGGGACAGAGCCCAAGTCCAGAGCTCAAGCCCCACGACTGACAAAAAAAAAGGTGAGGTAAGGGCACGGTGTTGCATGTCCTTAATCCCAGCACCAAGAGGATCTCAAATTTGAGGGCAGCTTGAGCTGCCTAGCAGGACTCCGTCTCCAAACACCAAGAACTGGGGATATCGTTCAGTGGTAGAACACTTGCCTCACTTAGGCAAAGCACCAGGCTTGATCCTTAGTATCAAAAAAGAGAAAACCTAGCTGGGTGCTGGTGGCTCATGTCTGTAAGCTACACAGGAGGCTGAGATCTGAGAATCGAGGTTCAAAGCCAGCCTGGGCAGGAAAGTCCATGAGACTCTTAACTCCAATTAACTACCAGAAGACCGGAAGAGGCGCTGTGGCTCAAGTGGTAGAGTGCTCATCTTGAGCTCAAGAGCTCAGGGACAGTGCTCAGGCCCAGAGTTCAAGGCCCATGACTGACGAAAAAAAAAAAAGACAGAGCCTATAGACTCTAGTTCACTATAGACTGTGAACTCTAGCTAGACTACAGGCTATCTGTCATGCTGAGATTCTGCCACTTGTCTCTGGCCAAATAAGGTCCTTTCTTTGAGCCAGGGTTGATGTGGAGTCTCACCGTTGTGTTTTGAGCTACAATGTTCTAAGCACCTCACATCCACGGCCTCATGGAATTCTCAGGAGAATTCTAGCAGATGTCGATATTGCCATGCTCTAGAGAAAGAGACTGAGGTTCTGCAAAGGAAAGCATGTTCCAGATCAGCCCTTGGAGGAACCTCAGCCATCTTGTTCTATGACACAGGCCTAAAAACAGACCATCCTGTGAGGGAGAGCAAAGCTAGTAGAAAGCAGCTGGGGTACCAGCAAGATCCTCTGGCCCTCTCTAGCTGGAAAATGCAGGAATCTAGGAGGGAGAAGTCCAGCAAGCCCACTAGGGGAAGAGAGAGGGCTTCCTGGGCTGGCCGAGTACAGCCCCATTTCTGTTGGCAAGATCTCCCCTCTTGCAACCGGCCCTGGATTTATGCCCGAGGAGCCTTGCATAAACTGACCTCGGTCAGGTCCTTGGCCCATGCCTGCAGCTCTGGGATCTGGCTTCTGCCCACCCACCCAAGGGCCCTGGCGGCCACCCAGTCACATGGGACCTTGGTCCACTTTGGCCCACTTCCTTCAGGATCTGGACTTAACCCCCCCTTCCCCTAGTCCCTGTCTCTCTGTGCAGGGCTGGGGCTCCCCTTTGCCCCCGCTGGCCATTTTCTGTTTTTGTTTTTTTGGGGGTCCGGTCGTGGGGCCTGAACTCTAGGCCTGCGCACTGTCCCCCAGCTCAAGGCTAGCGCTCTACCACTTGAGCCACAGCGCCACTTCCGGCTTTTTTTCTTTCTGCTTATGTGGTGCTGAGGAATCGAACCCAGGGCCTCAGGCATGCAAGGCAAGCGCTCTACCACTGAGCCACCTTCCCAGCCCCTCCCCCCTCCCCGGCCATTTTCTTCACTCCTCCAAACTCTTCAGAGCCCTTCATGGGGGGCTGATTCTGGGCTCTGGGCTGGGGTAAGAGGAAGGGACAAAGCTACCAGGCCACAGGGTGAAACCTGCCAGTTTCTTTCCCGAGAGTTCAAATCCTGCTTGCAGCCCCATGCTTGGTGGCTCACACCTGTGATCCCAGCTACTCAGGAGGCTGAGGACCTTGCTTCAAAGCCAGCCTGGGCAGGAGAGTCCATGAGACTCTTTATCTCCAATTAGCTGCCAAAAAACTAATAGTGGAGCTGTGGCTTAAGGAGTGGGGGGGGGGGGCAATCTTGATCAAAAAGCTCAGGGACAGGCCCAGGATGGCCATGTGAGTGCGCGTACACACACACACCTGTGCACACTAGTACATGCACACAACACACACACACACACACACACACCCCTCTCCAGACCCCATCTGCCCCCTGGGGCTCCAAGGGCAGGAAGCTGGCAGAACGCCTGGGCTGCCCGGTCCCCCTCCCCGTCCCCGCTCCGCCGCACGCTCCGCCCACGTTGACATCAGAGCTGCGGGCGGGCGGAGGAGAGACGGACCGGAGCCCAGCCGCAGCCCAGCCGAGCCGGGCGGGTGGACAGCCGGGAGCCGAGCCGGGCCACCGAGCGCGGGCGGGCGGCCAGGGCGCGCGACCGCCCAGCTCCGCGCCAGCACCTCGGCCTCGCGCCAGCCCCGCGGCGGGGCAGCCGCAGGTAGGGCCGGGCGGGCGGGGCGCCCGCGGGCGGCGCGGGGCCGGGCCTCCCCCCTCCCGGGCCCAGCAGGTGTCCCGCGAGCCCCGGGGCGCTTGATGGGCGCAGCGGCCCGCAGCTGGCGGGAGGGCGTGGGCATTCGGAGATGGGGTGTCTGGGTGTCCGTCCTACCTCTCCGATGTGCCGACGCCCGGTCCGGAGGGAGGGACCCTCGAGCCGGTCTTTGCGGATGGGCGTCTGGGGGTGCGTCCGTCGGAGCTGGGGCGTCCCGTTGTGTTTGGGGCCTCGGGCGTGGGCCCCGGGCGGAGGGTGTCAGGTGAGGATCTCCACGCAGCTTTTGGTAGGGGCTGTGGGTGTGAGCTGGTGGATTGGGCCAGGCTCTACACACGTTGAGCTGCACCTCCTGTAGGAAAAAAAAATTTTTGTAGTATGGGGGATTAAACTCGGGGCCCTGCCCTCGCTGCGGGTGCTCTACCCGAGCCAGGGCACCAGCCCTGCTGCTGTGTTTTGTGGTGGAAGAGTGGTCCCAGTGGGCGGGGGCGGGGTGGACAGGCCCGTCCACCTGAGGGGAGGCGTTTGCACATGTGTATTCATGGGTGTGAGTGTAAGCAGGTGTGGAAACATCTGGACAGAGACTGCTGGATGTAGGTGCACATGCAGGCAGTTTGGGTTCTGGGGTAGATGAGGCTGGGGGGTATTTGGTGCTGGGTAGGGAGCTGGTGGTGCCTCTGCAGTTGTCCAGGTGGGCTGAAGATTCATCCTCTAAAGCGTACCCTGCAGTCTCCTTTCTCTGCTGTTTCTGCTCCTGGGATAGGCATGAGGGTCCCCGGAACCGAGTCCGCCCCAGTCCTTCAGTCTCTCTCTGGTCAGGACGACTTCCGCTCATTCTATGGAGGAAAGTGAGGAGAAAGTAGCCTTCCAGAGGCCGCACAGCAGGCCAGGCTCCGTGGGGGCTTCACTGTGTGATCTTGGGGTGGTTGGGAAACTGTGCTTTCTGGGTGGGCCCCAGCCTGGCTGCCTATTGGAAGGACCAGTGGAAGACCAGCCCTTCATGGCTGAACTGGAGCCCGTGGTGGGTGTCAGCTGGGTGTCCCTGGACCCAGGTCTGTCCATCTCCAGTGCCATCTCCCCATTTTCCGTCTGGTGATAATGGAGGCCTCAGGAGAGGGAAGGTCCAAGCTGGGGCGGGACAGGCCGAGGCCCTGACGGGACAGGCTGGCTGGGACCCACATGGGGAGTTAGGAGGGAGAGGTCTGGGGAACTCCAGCTGTGGCTGCTGTTGCCTTGGTAACCGTGAGAAGGAGCTATTTAAAAACATGGCTGAGATATTGCTGGAAGCCCAGACTGCCGGAAACCTGATTTCTGAGAGGCCAAGGCAGGGAGGCGGAGGGAGAGGAGACACCCCAGCCATTTCCAGAGTGCTGCTGAGACTTTGCTGGTTCTGGGGGGGGCCCTGTGCTTCTTCCTTTAAGCTGGCTTTCCCTGTTTTCCCTTGGTATGTAAACCTGGAGAGGGAGAAGCTGGGAAGAGGGCATGAGTAAAGGAATGAAGGAATGCATGACTTCCTTAAAGAATTTTGCTGCTACCATGAAAGATTTTCCTCTAGGTGTAGGAATTTGCTGACGAGATATTACTCAATGAACAAATGACCAGTGAATGAATGTTGGATGACTGAATCCATGAACGAAGGAATGAATAAGTGCAGGCTCAATCACTGACTGAGGTGCAGGGATCAATTCCCAGAGGAGGCTCGACCTTACCAAGCTTCTCTCTCCGTTCCTCTTCCAGGAGCCCTGGCTGTGGCCGGGGGGCGGTGGGCCATGCCAGGAGCAGTGGAAGGCCCCTGCTGGAAGCAGGCAGAGGACATCCGGGACATTTATGATTTCCGAGATGTTCTGGGCACGTGAGTGTCAGGGTGGAGCGCTGCCTGAGTTGGGGGTGGAATTGGGAAGAGCCTCCCTCACTCCTGGGCCTGGATGGCTGGGCTCAGGGCGGTGCTTCCTGTGGCTAGTTGATTAACAATTCCTGTGTCTACAGACCAGGCACTGAGGAAGCCTAGCCATGGCTCAGACTGGTCCAGCTTTTCATTTCTGGCTGGCACTGGGTGGACACAAGCTGCTCTTGTAGCACCGTGAGTTCCTAATGAGAATCTGGAAGTCAAGGAGAACAGAGGGATCATTTATCCAAGCCCTTACCAAGAGCTAGCTGCTTGGGCTTAGGTTTGGAAACAGCGGGGGCGGGGGGGGGGGAATGGGGGGGACTTTTCTTGATGCTGAGAATTCAGACATTACCTAAACCTCACATTGGTCCCTCAAATTGGTCCTTGACATGCAAAAGAGACAGACCCATCGAAAATGACAAGAGGTGTGTGTTGTACTAAGTAAGGTTGGAGTAGAGGCCAGAGAGCGCTGTGGCTTCTCACTAGGGAGACTGTTGGGGCGTTAAATCTAGGGATTGGAGGACGCATAGATGTGCATGTGTCCAGAGGGACCTTCCAGGAAGGAGAGGTAAGCAAAGGCCCAGAGGCAAGGTAGAAGCACGAAGAGGTGAAGTGTGGGGGAGGAAGAAATGAGGCTACTTTGACTGGCCAGCCCTGCTCTAATGACCACCCCCGAGTCGGGTGTGGTTGAGTGTTTGAGGGAGGCTCATCTTACCTCCTTGGTTCAGAGTGGAAAAAGAGGCTAGAGGTGGAGTAGAAAAGTCCCTGCAGGACCTTGACAGCAGGTTACGAAGGCTGGATGTTACTCCAAAAGACACAGTAAGACACTTAAAACTTAGAGCAGGCCAGGTGCCAGTGGCTCACTCCTGTAATCCTAGGGGGATCATGGTTCGAAGCTAGCTCAGGCAGAAAAGTCTGTGAGACTCTTTTCTCCATGAACTAGAAAAAAAAAAAAGCCTAAATAAAGAATAAAACAACTCAGATGGGCAAGAAAGGCTATAAAACTCATCTCCAGTTAACCACCCAAAAGCTAGAAATGGAACAGTAGGTCAAGTGGTAGAGCGCTGGCCTTGAGCACAAAAGCTCAGGAACAGCCGGGCGCTGGTGGCTCACACCTGTAATCCTAGCTACTCAGGAGGCTATGATCTAAGGATGGCAGTTCAAAGCCAGCCTGGGCAGGAATGTCCATGAGACTCTTTTTTTTGTTTTTTGATTTTTTTTGGTCATGGGCTTGAACTCTGGGCCTGGGCGCTGTCCCTCAGTTCTTTAGTTGTAGACTAGTGCTCTACCACTTGAGCCTCAGCTCCACTTCAGGCTTTTTCTGCTTATGTGGTGCTGAGGAATCAAAACCGAGGGCCTCATGCATTCAAAGCAAGCACTCTACCACTGAGCCACCTTCCCAGCCCGAGTCCATGAGACTCATCTCCGATTAACCATCAGAAAACTGGAAGTGGTGCTGTGGCTCATGTGGGAGAGTGCTGGCCTTGAGCTGAAAAACTCAGGGACAGCGCCCAGGCCCAGAGTTCAAGCCCCACAACCAACAAAAAACAAAAAAGCTCAGGGACAGCACCCAGGCCTTGAGTTTAAGCCCCAGGAGCAGTGCATGTGCATGAACACACACACATACACACACACGCACACACACGCGCGCACACACACACACACACACGACTTAGAGGAAATTGACCATTCAGGACAGTCACTGGAACACAGTGTGGGACGCAAACTGGAGAAAGGCCAAGTAAAGCCAGTGATGAGAGGGCTGTAGCTACTCGTTATCCTGATGACAGGAGTGTCACCAAGGGACATGCCTTCCTTGACTGAGGACTTCCTAGTCCCTTGGGGAAGAAGGTGTGGAAAGGATGCCCAGCAAATCCCCCTCATCAGTGTTTAAACTTTAGTAAGCATACACATTACCCAAGAACCTTGCTAGAATACAGTGGGGTCTAGAATGTGGCATTTCTACAATGTCCTCAGGTGAGGCTGAAGGGTCTTCAAGGCGCTAAAGGGCTATTAAATGAGCCAGGACTCAAATTGGTTTCTGCAAAAATAGGAATGAATTATCCATGTACAGTACATAATTTGAAATCTCAGGGGCAAACTTTAGGCCTGCTTGGATCCAAGAGCCCAAAAGGGGTCGCATTATCAGGACATGGACTATGACTGCCTCTCAGGTCTGCTTTCCTTGGTGTGGTCTTTGTTCTCAAGGAGGCTCTTCTTAAGTGGTGACAAAAATGACTGCCACCAGCCAGGCGTTGGTGGCTCACGCCTGTAATCCTAGCTACTCAGGAGGCTGAGATCTGAGGATCACGGTTCAAAGCCAGCCTGTGTAGGAAAGTCCATGAAACTCTTATCTCCAATAAACCACCAGAAAACCGGAAGTGGCGCTGTAGTTCAAGTGGTAGAGCGCTCGCCTTGAGCTGAAGAGCTGAGGGACAGCGCCCAGGTCCAGAGTTCAAGCCCCACGACCGACCAAAAAAATAATAAAATAAAAAAAAAATGACCGCCACCTGTTTCAGGCTGACCTCATAGCAGTGCAGCAGGAATGGCTCCTCATTCATACCTGGCTCTCATCACACCGCAGTTACTGTGGCCAGGGAAAAGACTGATTGCCTTGCCCAGGTCACCAACCTGTCTGGAACAATCTACAGATGAGGGAAAAGGTGAAAGGGAAGTTAGGGTTAAAGTTTCTCACCTTGAGAATCCTCTTCCCACAGGGGGGCCTTTTCCGAGGTAATCCTAGCAGAAGACAAGAGGACTCAGAAGCTGGTGGCCATCAAATGCATCGCCAAGAAGGCCCTGGAAGGCAAAGAGGGTAGCATGGAGAATGAGATCGCTGTCCTGCACAAGTGCGTGCGCCACACAGGACACTGCCTTCACCCTTTCTTGTCTCCGGCTTTGGAGGACTCCTTTAAACTTTCCGAGCCTCCGCGTGCTGCTTGTAAAGTGGGGATAAGAGCTTGCACTTGGCAGGGTGTGGGGAGCACTCAAGGTCCTTTGGTTTCACGTGGCTGGCACACTGGGTAACCTGACTGATGTGGCTGAGATGCCAGGGACTATTTATATTTACAGAAGTTCAATCTGTTCAATCAGGACTCACGGTTAACCCTGGGTCAGGGCTTGAACCCACATCCCTCAGCTCATGTTATCTCTGGACCCACAGCAGGTCTCCCCTCCCCCACCACACTGAAGCCAAACAGCAGTTTCAAACTGCTGGTGTGATGACCCCTGAGGAGAAGCACTCATGCTGAAACTCTAGCTTACTCACTTCTAGTCTCTCTGTTTCCCAGCCACACTGGGCAAGATGGAAAAGATTGGTTTCCTTGGCCTATGAGGGGATAAGGGTGGGAGAATAAAGCCCAGAATGGGCAAGAGACTTGCCCAAAGTCACATGGCAAGCTTGTGAGATAGCTACGTTCTTCTCCTCAAGTTCAGTCTCCTGATTAGTTTTTTTAAAATTGAACATTTGCTGTGTATCAGGCATCTTGCCTGCATGTCTCCCATGCTCCTCACCCCTACTCTTTGAGGGAGATATGCATTTACTGCACTTTTAGGTGGCGAAGCTCAGACACACAGAGCTTCAACAAGTATTGCTGAGCAGGGTTTTCACCAAGTGCTGGAGCAGTGTGAGCAGAACAGAGCTCTGGACCAGAACACACATGGGGGTGGGGGTGGGGAGATGGCACCTCATTCTTCCTCAGGGCCCTGAGCTCAAACCCAAGCACTGTCCAAGCAAATCAGAAGCAAACAAAAAAGCCAGGGACTGGGGATAAGGTAAGGCACCTGCCTAGCAAGTGCCAGGCCCCAACTTCAAACCCCAGTAGTAAAACACAAAACCAAAGCAAACCACCAATCCTGCCCAGAAGTCATATACCCATCGGTGTTCCCAAAGAACATACAGCAGAGGCAGGATTTGGGCTCAGAACCCAGTGCTGGCCGCTCTACCTTCTTACCTTCCAAGAATTTATAGTAAATTGTGGTGAATCGGCTTTTACTGGTGGTGTTCAGGGTTCTTGGTTGCAAGCAATGGGGCAGTGGCTGAGGGTCCTTAGCGCTGATCCCCTCCTTCTCCTTCCAGGATCAAGCATCCTAACATTGTAGCCCTGGATGACATCTATGAGAGTGGGGGCCACCTCTACCTCATCATGCAGCTGTGAGCGGCCCCGCCCCTTCTCGCGGCTCCCCTGCTGTCCCTTCTAGCCCGCTCTATCTGGTTCCTGCTGTTAGGGGGCCTCCCCCTTGAGCTGTCCCTCTGTGTTGACCTACTGTAGAGTGTCAGGTGGGGAGCTGTTTGACCGAATCGTGGAGAAAGGGTTCTACACCGAGCGGGATGCCAGCCGCCTCATCTTCCAGGTGCTGGACGCGGTCAAGTACCTGCACGACCTGGGCATTGTACACCGAGACCTCAAGGTGGGGCTTGGGGAGGGTGGGGACTTGGTGAACTGAGCCCCTGGGGCAAGGCCTCTGCAAACCCTGCATGCAGTGTGACCTTAAGTAACTCTCACCCCTCACTGCACCCACCTGCAAAATACACCTCTGACCCCTAAGCCCCCTCTTTCCATTCCAGTTCAGCTACTCAAAGACACAAAGGGAGCTGTGCTGTCACGTGATCCCCAGTGGTGTTTTGTATCTTTCTGATAGTAAATGCCACATTTGCCGTTAGTAGAGAACTTGAATGTGAGAACAAAGCTTACAGGTGGCCAGGAGCCTGGCCTCCTGCTGGCCGAGGACAGGGTGTGAGGTGTCTGGTACATCTCATTCCCACCTGGAAGAGGAGCCTGGGAGCGAGACAGAACTGGGTTTGAATTCTGCCCTGCCACATCCAAGCTGGGCTAGTGGTCAGACGGCCACCAGGCCTCTGGAGGCATTGCCTTCCTGTCTCTAAAATGGGCTTGTTCAGACTGGCCTGCAGGGAATGTGCTAGAGATGAAATCAACCAGACTGGCTGGGAAGGTGGCTCAGTGGCAGAGCGCTTGCCTTGCATGCTTGAGGCCCTGGGTTCGATTCCTCAGCACCACATAAGCAGAACAAGCCGGAAGTGGTGCTGTGGCTCAAGTGGTAGAGCGCTAGCCTTGAGCTGAAGAGCTGAGGGACAGCGCCCAGGCCCAGAGTTCAGGCCCCACGACCGACTCCCCTCCCCCCCCCCAAAAAAATCAACCGGGAGCTTCCTCAACTTCCTTGACATTTTTAGGTGTTCCATCACGCGGGCAGCTCTGTGACTGTCCCAGTATCTTTTTGGGGGGTGGAATGGAAGTGGGGGTGAGGTTCCACTTTTTCTCAGGGGCTGGGGCTACGATGTTCTACTGGACTCTGGTCTTCTCTCATTCCCCTTCCTCCTCCTTCCCTCCCTCCTAGCCAGAGAACCTCCTCTACTACAGCCTGGATGAGGACTCCAAGATCATGATCTCCGACTTTGGCCTCTCCAAGATGGAGGATCCGGGCAGTGTGCTCTCCACAGCCTGTGGGACCCCAGGATACGTGGGTGCGGAGAGCCCTGGGCTGAGGCTGAGGGCAGGGATGGCACTGGGAGTGGCAAAGGGGGAAGTTGATCACCAATATCTCCCCTTTCTTCCACAGCCCCTGAGGTCCTGGCCCAGAAGCCCTACAGCAAGGCCGTGGACTGCTGGTCCATTGGGGTCATAGCCTATATCCTGTAAGTGGGGCTGGGTCCATGGCCAGGTGTGGCTCCACCGCTGTCCTTTCTCATGCCTTCCTCTCCCCCTCCCCTCTCCTCCACAGCAGCGTCCACCTATTACTAACATCTCTTCCTTCAGTAGAAATGCCTTGGGGCACTGTACCAGGCACTAGGAGTTAGAACAAGGACCTGACCTTGGGGAACTGGCAGCATAGCTGGGGAGACAGAATTGGCAAGAAATCAAAACCTTAGCCTACACAAAGCCTGAACATTAATCTAAACATGAGCTGGTGGCTCACACTTGTAATCCTAACAACTCAGAAGGCTGAGATCTGAGAATCCTGGTTCAAAGACAACCGGGGCAAGAAAATCCCGGAGGCTCTTGTCTCTAATTAGCCACCAAAAGCTGGAAGTGGCGCTGTGGCTCAAGGTGACAGAGTGCTCGCCTTGAGCGAAAGAGCTCAGGGACAGTGTCCAGGCTCTGAGTTAAAGCCCCAGACTGACCAAATAAATAAGAAAAAAGAAAATCAAAACAGTAATGAAGCCAGACTGAAGGTGTGGCTCAAGTGGTAGAGTGCCAGCCAAGCAGGCAAGCTGATCAAGTTCAAGGAACTGAGTTCAAACACTGTACTGGCAGGCCAAAAAAAAAAAAGGTGATAAAAAATGCTGTAAAGAGCAGGCGGCAGAATGAGGGGCAGGGGGTGGCAAGCATTTCAGGTAGGCTCAGGGAAGGAAAGGTCTTCAGTGGAGCTGGCGTTTGGCATCCTGAGTGGAAGAGGAGGAAGAAAGGTTCAGCAGAGAAAATCAAGTGCAAAGGCCTCGAGGATTGCAAGGCGGGAGGTGTGGAGGGCTGGCAGTCAGGAGTGGGGCAGGAGGGAGGGGAGAGGAACCCCCTTCCTATGGGTCTCCTGGGACTGCCCACGAGTCATCCCAGAGCTGGTGAGAACGGAAGTGAGCACCAGTCTCTCCCTGCCCAGGCTCTGCGGCTACCCCCCCTTCTATGATGAGAACGATGCCAAACTCTTTGAACAGATTCTGAAGGCTGAGTACGAGTTTGACTCTCCTTACTGGGACGACATCTCTGACTCTGGTATTTGGGGCTTTGCCTTCTTCCCTCGGGGGTCCTGTCTCTACTTCTTCTCTGTAGTATCTCCCAATCGTCTCCCTTCTAGCAGATTCCCTGGCCCCAGAGTGGGAGTCTTCTGAGATCAGACACTGCTACCTCCAGTTTCCCTCTGCTTGGCCCCCAGTCTGAGAGACTTGTAGGCATTTATTCACTCAATCTTCAAACACTGTATTCTTTAACACGTAAAGAGCAATCCATCAGGAGGGGGGCCTAAAGAGGAGTCCCAATAAACATATTTTTAAGAAAGGAGAAAGCCTGAAGCCTGGGTTGGGAGGGCTTCAGAGGTGGACCAGCGTGGTAGATGGGTAGATCTGGCCTGGCCTCTCTGTCTTGCTTTGTGGCCCGGCCCAGCCTGCTGGAGGGGTGGGGGGAATGGTTCCACAGGCACCACTATGCTGTCTTGGCTTTGGTTCAGCCAAAGATTTCATCCGGCACCTGATGGAAAAGGACCCAGAGGAGAGGTTCACCTGTGAGCAGGCCCTGCAGCACCCATGGTGAGAGACGCCTCCCGCCCTCCCCCCCCCCACCAGGCTGCGCACTGGGCTGTGGCATGGGACCCTCCCAGGGCTACCCTCTGAGCTAGCCCTCCACAATCTCCGCTCAGGATTGCAGGAGACACGGCTCTGGATAAGAATATCCACCAGTCCGTGAGTGAGCAGATCAAGAAGAACTTTGCCAAGAGCAAGTGGAAGGTGAGCAGCCATGTTCTTTCTGCCCTGGGTCCTGGCCTCCCAAGGACTCCTTGCCCGCCCCCATCTAGGCCCAGCTTGCATGGCACCCGGAACCAAATCCAGCACACAGGACTCTCTGAAGGACTTCATTCAATCACTCATTCATTCAACAAATGCTCCTGGACATCTACCCAACTTCAGAGGGTCTTTGGTGGTCAATACATCTATAACATCCTTCTACAGGTTATAACACACTTCTTACAGACCATAATAGTGAGTAATCTATGTTACAGAACAGTCTATATTTCTCCAAGAGCATCTGAGCTAGTCTTTGGGGGCCTAGGAAGGTCCTAACTGTGGCAACTGACAGACTTGTCACTCGAATAGGAATTAGCCAATCGCAAGCAGTATGTCTGAGGTAGCAGGACAAGGTATGCAAAGGCCCCTGTACTAGAGCTGCTGAGGGCAGAGTGGCAGGAGCCCAGGGTGGAGAATCTGGCAGGGGTCAGGCCAGCAGGCCTTGCATCCCACAATGGAGGAGCAACCTGATGCTGCGGGCTGAGCCTCCGGGGAGCATGCCTGCAGCAGGGCTCTCAGGAAGCCGTGAAGGCCACAGAGGAGACTGGGAGACCCAGGAGGAAGCTGTGCCGAAGCAGGCAGGATGGCAAGCCATGACCCACACGGGGTAACAGAGCAGAGGGCCTTGGAGGTGTAGAATCACAGGGGGCAAAGACAGAAGATGGAAGCAGGCTGAGGGAATCAGGCAAGAGCGAGGGCTGCCCAACTTCCAGCGGGGACTGAGGACAATGGTACCATGGCTGTGGACGGATCCCAGGGCTGACGCGTGTCTTGGGAGGTTGGTTTGTTCTGAACTTGAGGGACATGAGGAATGTATTGCTGAGGGAGGAGAGCTGAATAGAAAGTGGTAGACACGCAGGCACATGTGTGTCTTTCTATGCCTTAGTGTCCTTTTTTGAAGTTAGCGGTATTAACGGTGCCTGCCTCAGTTTTCTTCTTCTTTTTTTTTTTTGGGTCTGGTCATGGGGCCTGAATTCTGGCCTGGGCGCTGTCCCTCAGCTCTTCAGCTCAAGGCTAGTGCTCTACCACTTGAGCCACAGCGCCACTTCCGGCTTTTTTTCTTTTTGCTCATGTGGTGCTGAGGAATCGAACCCAGGGCCTCAGGCATGCAAGGCAAGCGCTCTACCATGGAGCCACCTTCCCAGCCCCTGCCTCAGAGTTTTGTAAATATTAAATTACCATGTAAAGTGCTTAGAACCGTGTCCACGACATAATGCGACAGTGCTTTCTACACATGAATTGTGTCTGCATGTGCACCTTGTATGTGTATGTGCATGCATAAATTCATAAAATGACTATAAGGATCAACCTGTAAATCCATAGGACTAGCTGCAACTTACCAAAGCTTTGGTCTGGAGGGGCTCCAGGGAAATCACTAACACCTGTGTGCCACACCCTGCCACACCCTGGCCCACCAACTTCCCGGTCCCCAGAAGTCTCTCTCCTCTCTCGGCAGCAAGCCTTCAATGCCACGGCTGTGGTGCGGCACATGAGGAAGCTGCAGCTGGGCACCAGCCAGGAAGGGCAGGGGCGCGCGGCAAGCCACGGGGAGCTGCTGACACCAACCACTGCAGGTGAGGAGCTCGGGAGCATGCAAGGGCTAGATGGCTGGCCCATGAGGAGGCACCAGCCCGGAGTGGAGGGCTGCCCCCCCCAACTCTGTCCTTGCTCCCATGCAGGACCCGTGGCTGGCTGTTGCTGTCGAGACTGCTGTGTGGATCCCAGCCAGAAAGTGCCCCCCACGCTGCCCCCCCAGCTCTAGGGTGGAAGGCAGCCTGCCCGCTTCCCTGGCCCATCCCTCCCCACCCCCTCCCTCTCCCTCCTCACTGCATTTTCCATACAAAGGTTTCTATTTTATTGTTCCTTCTTGTAATAAAGGTAAGAAGATAAAATCACAGTCAGCTCTGTCTCCTCTACCAGTCCTTTCTCCCCTTGCTGTGTCACCCTGAGGTAGCTGCAGCGATCCCTCCCCAACAGGAGACAAGAGGTGTGGATGGGAGAAAGAAGCAGAGGTGTGGAAGTGTTGGAGAATTCCTTTCTCTCGTGTCCCATTTAAACTTCTGGCCCTTTGGATGCTTTCTGGCGCTTTGCTGGTGGCCCTTGGGCACGGTGGGTGGGCTGGCGCAAGTCGGCACTGAACAGCACCTGTGCGGGGGAGGGGCTTGTGTGGGGAGGAGGAGCCATTGGGGCCAAGGCTGGAGATGGGGCGGGAACCAAAGAGTCATGAGGTCAGGACTGGGGTGGTGGCAGAGTTGTGATGGCATGGGAGATTCATGGAGATGGGTCAGGGCCGAGGAAGGGTGTTAGGGTCTGGGCTAGAGAGGAGGGGAAGCTGAGGTACACTCACTGCTTGCGCCCAGCCCGCATAAGGTCCCCATAGGCTCCGGAAAAAGTTTCCTAAATCAAAAGAGGTTACAGTAACTGGGCCCCCTGTTGTCCTCCCCCTCCCCCGCCCCCAGCCCCATCCACCGTGGTGGTGTGGGGGAGCAGGAACTACGCCCAGCACCCCTCTCCTCACCCAGCTCCTTGTTAGCTTGGGGGTTTGGACCCTTGGCCTGAGATGTGGTGGGGTGCCAGCTGTAGTCCCGTTGGGCGATCTGCCACATATGGACATCCACGGGCACAGCCTGGGGTTTGTCCAGGGCCATCAGGCAGACGCAGTCAGCCACCTTCAATAAGCAGAGTGAGTCACTGTGGAGGGACGCCAGGGTGTAGCTAGCAGCGGCTTCCTCACCCTGCCGTCACCACTGTTCTATCAGCTCACTCAATGTTCACCTGCTATGCATCCCAGAAGGAATCTGAAGAGTTGCCACTGAGTGGACACCTCTGTGGGACCAGTTCTCATCAACCTGGGAAAAGGAGTCAGCGCACACATCTCACACAAGCTCCAAAATGTCATGTGCCTTGGCTATAGTCCCATGGCTGGGGACAGGCACCAAGATTTAAAGCTAGGCTGGAGTGTGGAGCTCGGTTTTAAAAAAGTTCTTCGGGCTTGGATGTAGCTCAGTGGCAAAGTGCTTGCTTAACAAGCAAGGTTCAATCTCCAGTACCATAAAAAGACCTTAAAAAATTGAAGCAGCCGGGTGCCAGTGGCTCACGCCTGTAAATCCTAGCTGGAGGATCCAGTTCAAAGACAGCACAGGCAGGAAAGTCCTGAGACTCTGATCTCCAATGAACCACCAGAAAACCAGAAGTTGTGCTGTGGCTCAAATGGTAGAGTACTCACCTTGAGTTGAAGAGCTGAGGGACAGAGCCCAGGCCCAGAGTTCAAGCCCCATGACAGACCAAAAAAAAAAAGTAAAATCCCCCCAACAAAACCAAACCCAAACCCAAAAAATCCTTAGGTAAAAATTCATTTCCTAAACCATCGAGAACTACGAAGAAGACAAGTTCCAAATACAAATTATCTTACTACTAGTTAACCTGTTAATATCAAACCAAATGTTCTATAAGTATGTGTAATTTCAAGAGAAGAACAAACTGGGGGGTGGGAATGTGGCTTAGAAGTAGAGCGCTTGCCTAGCATGCATGAAGCCCTGGGTTTGATTCCTCAGTACCACATAAACAGAAAAGTCTGGAAGTGTGGCTCAAGTGATAGAGTGCTAGCCTTGAACAAAAGAAGCTCAGGGACAGTGTCCAGGTCTGAGTTCAAGCCCCAGGAATGGCAAAAGAAGAAAGAAGAAAAAAGAAGCTGGGTGCCGGTGGCTCACGCCTGTAATCCTAGCTACTCAGGAGGATGAGATCTGAGGATCGTGGTTCAAAGCCAGCCAGGGCAGGAAAGACCATGAGACTCTTATTTCCAATAAACCACTCAGAAAACCAGAAGTGGTACTATGGCTCAAGTGGTAGAGTGCTAGCCTTGAGCTGAAGAGCTCAGGGACAGCGCCCAGGCCCAGAGTTCAAGTCCCACGACCAACCCCCCCCCCCCAAAAAAAAAAAAAAGAACAAAAAAAAAGAGGAGGAAGAGGAGGAGGAAAATGAGGAGGAAGAAGAGGAGGAAGAGGAAAAAGAAGAGGAAGAAGAGGAAGAAGGAGGAGGAAGAGGAAGAAGAAGAGGAGAAGGAGGAAGAGGAGGGGGAGGCAGGCAAACTGGAAAACAGAAACATCTTCCTATTTCTCCCCCTAAAGGTAACAAGTACTAAGCTTCCTGCCATTCCTTCTGGAAATTTCTGCATAAATACAGCAACACATGTGGGCAACCATACAAATGGCTTTTCTGAGAATCCACTCAAAGAGCAATGCCTTTTGTCTCCTTTCTGCTGTTTTTTTTTTTGTCAGTTGTGGGGCTTGAACTCTGGGCTTGGGCGCTGTCCCTTAGCTCTTCAGCTCAAGGCAAGCACTCTACCACTTGAGCCACAGCACCACTTCCTTTTTTTTTTTTTCCCTCTAATGAAGTATCTGCTTACATCTTTTCCTTCCAGTTCCTTCAGAAGCCAGGCCTCCATTACAATGTGCAGGCCTGCCTTGTTCAAACTCTCCTACTCTATGTGAGTGAAAGGGGCAGCTCCTACCTCTCTGGAGCCTCACCTTGGTGCCCACCCCAGGCAGGGCACAGAGGACCTTGTGAGCCTCCTCATAGGGGGCCTCTCGAAGCTGCTGTAGCCAGGCCAGCCCACCTTGCTCTTCTAGGATTGCTTGCGCACTGGCACACACATAGCGCGCACGGTATCCCAGGCCCAGCTTCCTGAGGTGGGCTTCTACCTCCGGCCCTGTGGGAGTAGACAGGAGAGCAGGGGTCAGGTGTCCTCAAGCCTTTCTATCCTCAGGCATGTTTGTAAAACCTCAGGCACAGAGATGCTTTTCCTGAATGTCCCTCCCTCCCTACTGTCCACTAGGAGTCAGGGCCATTTGCATGGGTATGTTTTCTGAGCACTACTCATATGGTAACTGAGAAAGACTCTTTGCTCAGGAGTTCTCCACTTTGGTTCTTTAGACTTTCTCAAGAAAGTTCACACCCATGATTAAAAGACTCATAAAAAATACCAGATCAGTTCTTCCATCAGTGCTGGACAGACCCACGGGCGATGCCCTTTACATATATTACCCTGCTAAATTTTCTTCTTTTTTTTTTTGGTCCGGTCGTGGGGCCTGAACTCTGGGCCTGGGCGCTGTCCCTCAGCTCTTCAGCTCAAGGCGAGCGTTCTACCACTTGAGCTACAGCGCCACTTCCGGTTTTCTGGTGGTTTATTGGAGATAGGAGTCTCACGGTCTTTCCTGCCCGGGCTGGCTTTGAACCGCGATCCTCAGATCTCAGCCTCCTGAGTAGCTAGGTTTACAGGCGTGAGCCACCAGCGCCCGGCTTGTGGCTTTTTTCTTTTTGCTTGGTGCTGAGGAATAGAACCCAGGGCCTCATGCATACAAGGCAAGCACTCTACCACTGAGCCACCTTCCCAGCCCCCCTGCTTAATTTTCTTGAGGAACTTGCTGACATACTGTTCTTTTTCCCATTTTACCGATGGAGAAAAGGAGGGAGGGCTTAGAAGATATTCAAGGCAGGACATGGTAGAGACGGGAATTTGTGTAAGGTCTGGGATACCAAATGCTTATGCTCTTAACCCACTCTATGCATCCTGACTGCTCTATTCACCATTCATTCCCATTCTACACAAACAAGTCAAGAAAGGTTTAGAGAGCTGAATGAAATTTTTGGGATCTTATGACGACTAAGCTATGAGCAGAGACTCAAGACCACTTTTTTTTTTTTTTTTTTTTTTAATCAGTTGTGGGGCTTGAACTCAGGGCCTTGGCACTGTCCCATAGCTTTTTTTGCTCAAGAATAGAGCTCTTCCACTTTGAGCCACAGCTACTTCTGGCTTTCCAATGGTTAATTGGAGATGAGAGTCTCATGGACTTTGCTGCCCAGGTTGGCTTCAAACTGTGATCCTCAGATCTCAGCATCCTGAATAACTAGGACCACCAGCGCTGGGCTCCTCACAGCAACTTTGACAGGTGCTATGATTATCCCATCTCACACACAGGTGTACAGAGTACAGAAATACTAAAGAATGTGTCCAAGTGACAGACCTGGGACATGTCTGGCAGTCTGTCTCTGGAATGCATATTGTTAACCCCAAAGTACAGAACACTGTGTATAAATATTTCTCTAAAGAGGTACTGAGTCTCCTCGCAAACATCCAGACTAGTGTGGTGCTGACACTTCAGGGATTCATATGGAAGATGTGATAGAACGGGGGCTGATCTGTTTAGAAAGGACAGCTCTGGATGGGGAAATGTTAAGATGGGAGATGGTGACCAGAGGAGAATCAAACAATTCTCCCTGTTCAAAACAGGCGGGGGCTAGGGGGTTCACCTACTCACCAGCCAAGGCCTGCAGGCTGGGGAAGCCATGGTAGACAACATCATCAAGCTGGATGAGCCGAGGTCCAAAGGACTGACACAGTCTTTCCACCATGCCAGTGATGCGGGCAATGTTGTTGTTGGAAGAACAGATGAAGGAGAAAAGGCATTCAGTGGGGTCCTGTCGCAGCAGTCGCACACCTGGAGACCAGAACGCATGGTTAGAAGCACCTGCTATTGGAAGTGACTTTCTCCCACCCTTGTATAAGATCCTACACTTTTTTAAGGCTCTAGGTAATCCCAGGATAGAAAAATCCCAGGATAGAGAGGGGCTAGGAAGATGGCTCAGTGGTAGAGTGCTTGCCTTGCATGCATGAAGCCCTGGGTTCAATTCCTCAGTACCACATAAGCAAAAAGAAAAAAGCAGGAAGTGGTGCTGTGGCTCAAGTGGTAGAGCGCTAGCCTTGAGCTGAAGAGCTGAGGGACAGTGCCCAGGCCCAGAGTTCAGCCCCCATGATCGACAAAAAAAAAAAAAAAATTTAGAGAAAGGAATACTACAGCTCTCATTTCTCATAGCATCTCATCAATAACCCACAATGAACCAGACGCTGGTGATTCATACCTGTAATCCTAGCTACTCTGGAGGTTGAGATTTGAGGATTGTGATTCAAAGCCAGCTTTAATTGGGCAGAGAAGCCCAATTAATTACAAAAAAGCCAGAAGTGGAGGTGTGGCTCCAGTGATAAAGCATGAGCCTTGAAAGAAAAAGCTAAGGCATAACACCCATCCTGAGTTCAAGCCCCAATAATGGCATGTACACACACACGCACAATGAGATTAACATACTGTTTTTTGTTAATATCTCCAGTCACATAGCACATGCTCCATTCTCTGTTTACAGAATGAACGGAGTCACATCCAATCAGGCCACACTAATAATGAGCCAGGTGTGGGCAGCTAGTTGTAATCCTAGCTAGTCAGGAGGCGGAGATCTGAGGAATGAAGTTGGAAGCCAGCCCTGGTAGGAAAGTCCAAGAGACTCTAATCTCCCATTAATCACCCTAAAACCAAAAGTGAACAGTGGCTCAAAGTGGTTGAGTGCTATCCTTGAGCTGAAAAAGCGCAGGGACAGCACCCAGGAAAAAAAATTTACAATGTGCCAGGAATTATTATATACACACACACACACACACTTTACACTTATTAGGTCCTTTAATCCTTAAGATCTCATGTGGTATATTGCAACCTCCATTTTACAGTGAGGCCTCATCATAGAGAAATAATCAATGCACATAGAACCCCAACCTCTCTCTGCCCAGGTCTTGTACTCACCTTGGAATTTCTGAGCCACGTCTTGGAAGTGGGGGTCCACAGAACCCCAATGTCTGTACAGTTGAGCCAAGCTGACATCCAGCTGGAAGTATTCTCGGATGGCCTTCAGCTCCTCCAATGTCGGCCTGCCACTCCAACCCTCGTTCTCTCGGTACACAGTGCAAAAAAGCTGCTCTTCGGTTTGAGTCAGTGTCCATACTCGGCTCTCCAGTACGCCACTCCAGTGTGCAGGGCTATGCTCCCTCCACCTAAGCACCCAGGTGCAGAGAGACAGGCTCTACATGGGTTTCCTTTCCTTTGGGGTACACCTCCAGTCTTAGAGCTGCCCCATTCGCAAAAGAGGTTTACTAACTATAAAGTGAAAATGGTGATCTTTTCAGTGGTTTTATCGCATGGTCCTCGCAGCACTGCACTTGGTACCTCTACTTTATAGAGGGGTAGCAGGCCTGCCACCAGGGCTTCCCCTCCCATCCATCCTGCCCCAACGTTCCTTTGCAGCCCTGATGGGGAAAGTCGAGCCAAAGTCCCGAGAAGGGGCCAACCTCCCCCCACACCCGACGCAGTCACCCACCGGAAGGACTGTCCAGAAGCTAAAACCAGGTCCAGGCGCAGCTCAGAGCGTGGACAGGGGATGGAGGCCCAGAGAGTCGGGCTAGAGGCCAGAGTCCGGTGCCTCATGAGCCACCAGGCAGAAGCCACCTTTAGGAGAGCAGCGCTCGCCCCGCGGCGGCCTGAACACCCCGCGTGCAGGGCCACGCCCCCAGGCTCCTCCCACCCGGCCCCAGCACGGAGCCTCATCTTAGGTCCCTCCTTCTCTCATTCAATTCCTCCTCTCCCGCCCGCCTGCTAGCCTTGCCCCTCCCTCGACCACTCCTTCCGACGTGAGCTTCCCGCCCCAGAACCTCGGCGCGCGCTCCGCGACTCCACAGCAATGGAAGCTTTTAGAAGGAAGCGCGAGCCTGTTTTTCCGCTTTCTCGGGGGCCGGAAGTAAGGCTCAGAGGTAGCCAATCCGAGGAGGAAGTGAGAGTACGCCACCAATGAGAGCCCGGGCGCGACGTTGGTGGGCGGACCCTCGGAGAGCGGCTTTCCCGAGGACCGGAAGTAAGGCTCAGAGGTAGCCAATCCGAGGAGGAAGTGAGAGTACGCCACCAATGAGAGTCCGGGCGCGACGTTGGTTGGCGGACCCTCGGAGAGCGGCTTTCCAGAGGACCGGAAGTAAATCTCAGAGGTAGCCAATCCGAGGAGGAAGGGAGAGTGCGGCACCAATGAGAGCTCGGGCGCGACGCGGCGGCCGGCCCTCTGTGCGCCGACGAGGTTGGCGCGCGTCGGAGCAGCCGTGCGTTCTCTCTTCGGCGGCCTGACCTCATTTGGGCTCGGGTTCCCAGGCCTTCTTGTCTCGGAAGCTTCCAGCCCGACCCCCGCCCCTTCCCCCGCGTGGGAGCGTCTCCGGAGCCCGGCCCAGGGGCCTACGGGGCGGCGGCTCAGCCGGGCACACCTGCCGTTGCACAGAGGAAGGATGGTTTCTGGTGGTTTTTTGGAGATAGGCGTCTCACAGACTTTCCTGCCTAGGCTGGCTTTGAATCGCGATTCTCAGGTCTCGGCCTCCTGTGTAGATAGCACAGGCGTGAGCCACCGGCGCCCGGCCAAATCGTTTCTAACTAGAGGAAGACAAAGCAACTAGGAGACATCAGAATTCGGGGCCGGGGACAGTTCTAGCCCTGTAGCAATGACTGGGGCTATCCAATTTAGGCCGAGGCGCTCCGAGGGCATCATCTGCAGCTGATGAAAGCATGTCATGCCACACGGGTGTCTTGATTCTCCACTGGCTGCAAGGCTTGGGCAGTCTTGTCATTCTGTGACTGTCATCTGTGGAACGCCACCCACAGGCGCTCAGTGTGTGGAAGGCACCCTTAAAGTGTTGTTCGAATGGAAAAGGTGTCCAGGTTGGGGAAGGAAAGCCACCCTTTACACCTCTATATTGCTCCCTGGTGCTTTAAGAAGGAGGAAGGTACCAGCCTCATAACTGAAGCACTTGGGCCTTGCTTCTGGCAAAGGACAAAGCTGAGCAGTCCGAAAAGGAAACAGCAGTGGACTCTGCTTGGTGGTTCGGCACACTACAGCCACTGGCAGCTTTCCAGACCTAGATCTGAGCTTAATCTTATCCTAGTTGTGGTAACACAGGCAAGTCCACTTTTTTTTTTTTTTTTGTCGGTCACTTCTGGCTTTTTCTGCTTATGTGGTGGAGAGAATTGAACCCAGGGCCTCATACATGCAAGGCAAGCACTCTACCACTGAGCCACCTTCCCAACCTCACTTTTCTTTTCTTTGGGTCCTGTCGTGGGGCCTGAACTCTGGGCCTGGGCGCTGTCCCTCAGCTCTCCAGGTGAAGGCTAGTGCTCTACCACTTGAGCCACAGCACCACTTCCGGCTTTTTTTTTTTTTGCTTATGTGGTGCTGAGGAATTGAACCCAGGGCCACAGGCATGCAAGGCAAGCGCTCTACCATTGAGCCACCTTCCCAGTCCTCACTTAACTTTTCTAAGCCTCCAAATCTGGAAACCAGCTTATTATTAACCTACCCATCGATACTGTTAACAGATTAGACAAAACTGTATCTAAAGGTGCTTACAGTTTAGGACATGCTGCTCTCCATGTACAGTGGAAATGGGAATGCTCCTATTATCTGCCTGCTGTGTTGTGTAACTAGCAGGCACAGAGGCCAGCAACCACTTGGGCCCTATTATAACCATTCTTGGTATATACCACACCTCCCCCTCCCTTTGAATCCCTTTGCCCTGGTATAAGAACAAAGAATTCTAAATAGACTTTATTTACTAAGAATCAATATATTTTCCTTTGAAATAAATACAAACCAGTTTGAAAGGTAGGGGAATCTAAGGGAAAGAGAAGGGAAATAGGGACAAGGCCCTGTCTTTTTAGTACCAAATGACTCTGGCGCGACCCGGAAACGCAGTTACAAATGAGAATAATTTAAATTCTCCAATAATTACAGTATATACAACAGCTTGGGAGGGGTCACCTAGTGTCCCTCTTCTGGGCTCGACAGACATCCGTCCCACTGCTAGGCTGGGAAGATGTCTGCTCACCTCACCACCTTCAGGGGCCTTAGGCCTCTAGGCAGTTATAGATTCTCCTAGCATGAGCAGGCAGAGGTGGTGGCAGGTCTGTTTTATGCAGTGTCCTAACCTTGGTCCACCACCCTGCTTTGCAATGCCATAGTCTCTGGAGCTCTTTTTGACCTGTGGGACCTCCCCTCTCCTTGCACTAAGTCACCACAGGCCCTTGGAGTGTTCTGTACAGTCCAGCTGCACTCAGGGCAGGAGGGACCTCCCCCAACCCAACTTCCCCTGAGACTGGCCCCAAGACCAGGAATGAGTCAGTGCAGAGGCTGGAGCCACTCCAGGGCAATGAGCAAGGGAAAGAGAGAGGTCCTAGGGCACTATTGGTTGTGTTCTGCTGGGCAAGGTCAGTCGCTATCGCTGGTCTCACTGCTCTGCTCACCCTGCACCTTGCTGCGGTGCTGCAGGGCCCTGTGGTAGGCGATCTGTACTGACTTGCGGATGTTGGACTTGCGGCCCTCCAGCATCTTCTCTTTGTCTAGGTCCTGGTTCACACCAAGAGGAACCAGCTTTGTCCTGGGCAACCACTGCCTATAGGACAAGGTGAAGATCAAATAAATTATCTCAGAGACAACAAGCAGTCATTCAGAAATACCTCCTGGGTCCCAATCACTGGTCACGATCTCTTGGAGATTTAAGAAACAGTCCTAGCTGGAAATAATGCACACCACTAATTTCAACTACTTGGGAGGCAGAGATCAGGAGAACTATGGTACAAAGTCCTAGGCAAAGTTAGCAGACCCCCCTCTTTCAACACATTAAGTGAGCAATGATGGTAAATACCTGTAATCCCAGTTACATGGGCCAGAAACCAGCCCTGGGCAACAAGTACAAGCAAGATGCTATCTAAAAAAAGAAAGAGCTGGGCAAGGGTGTCTCATATCTATAGTTCTAGCTACTTGTGAAGCTGCAATCTGAGAATTATGGTTCAGCACCAGCCTGGGCAGCCAAATCGGAGACTAATCTCCAAATAACCAGCAAATAGCTGGAAGAAGTGGAAGGGTGGCTCAAGTGGCACAGCACCAGCCACTAGTGGAAAAGCTAAGCAAGAGTGTAAAGCCTTGAGTTCAAGCCCCAGTACTGGCACACACAAGAAAACGGGAGGGGGCTGAAGTGGGACTCAAGTGGGCAAACTTAAGACCCTGAATTCTACAATAAAAAGACCCACATCCCATTCCTCAAGAGACTGCTGACAGCTGGGAGGGGGCTAGGTGAGCCTAATCAACAGTTGAGCTAGGATCACTATAGGCTATTTGTGTAAAAATATGGAGCTCTGACTTAAGCAGAAATAGGTGTCCTGTCCCATAGGCAGACAGACTTCACTATCATCTGTGGGCTATTAACAGACTACACATGCAAGTTTGACAGAGCAAGGATTTATAGCTTAATGTTTATACCTACTTTATCATTATCTTGGCACCATGGAAGAAGGGCCAAGAGCTTCCATGTGGGTTTGTCATTGTCACTGGTCCTTTGGTTTCTAACAATAACTTGTGCGTTAGTGCCCACTCAGCCTATTAAGACTAACACAACCCCTTTGCTCAAGATCTGTTCCACCTCCCTCCCCCACTGCTCTGTCACAGATTCGGTCGTCTGTCTGTTGCTAGAGTTTCTTTAGTCCGCCCCCATACCACTCTGGATTGCCTCTGTGGCTGTGAGTCATACCAGATGGCCTCCCCTTCCTTACCAGGTTCGCTTGTTATCGAAGAAGAGAACGAGGTAGAGATGCTCTCGGGCTTCCTGGGTCATCTGCTCTCCAAGTTTCAACACCTCCAATGGGGGCACAGGGATGGGAACCCCATGGTGGAACATACCTTCTCGGGGCATCTTTGGATCAATGATCTGAGGGTATAACACAAGCCCAGGTTGCGTCAGCTCATTTGCTCCACAAAGCATACCCTAGCCAGGAATTTGGAGACTGTGTAGTGGTCAGAAAACAGTCATCATACAACTACGGCTGTAATGCTGACCCATGGCTGCTTCCTGGGCTGAATGACTTCAGGGCCTACGGAGCCAAGAGGAAGTAAAGGAAGAGATGCAGAAACCGGGGAGCTCTCTGGGACACTCAAGCTGCATTTGTCTACCACGCCTCTGCTGAGGAACCCCATGTTCCACAGCTAAGCAGAGACAAGCTGGGGTTGGGGAGCAAGGGGCAGGACAAGGGAAGCGGAAGCTTACCAGTGCCGGGTATGATGGATACCCCCGGCATTTGGCCCACACGAGGTCCAGAGCGTCCAGTGGAGCGTCGTCATCCTCTGACAGCCAGCCGGCTCCCCGGCTCAGACTCTTCCTCACCACTTCACAGGAACGGGAGAGAGGGGGCGGGTCAGCCGCTAGAGGGCTGGCAAGGCCCTGACACTGGGTGCCCAGCATCCCTGGCTTTGAGTGAGAGTACTTACTGCTGTGGCCCACGCCGCGGCCAGTGCCCACGGAGTAGGCCTCATTCTCGGTGCCTGAGGTGTCTTCACTGCTATCCTCTGGGAATGTGCCCCGAGAGAAAGAGGGCTTACCCCGGCCTTGTTTTGACGGTGTTGTGCTGTGGACAAGATAGGGAAATTCAATTGGAAAAAAGCAAGAATGGAAATGACACGGTAGTATTGTTTCTCCTTTTTACACTCCAAACTCTAGGCTTCTGGAAAGCAGAAACTTCTGTAAAGAAGTTCAAACTCGGGCTGGGAAGGTGGCTCAGTGGTAGAGTGCTTGCCTTGCATGCATGAGGCCCTAGGTTCTATTCCTCACCACCACATAAGCAGAAAGAAAAAAGCCAGGGCTAGGAAGATGGCTCAGTAGTAGAGCGCTTGCCTTGCATGCATGAGGCCCTGGGTTCGATTGCTCAGCGCCACATAAGCAAAAAGAAAAAAGCCGGAAGTGGCGCTGTTGCTCAAGTGGTAGAGCGCTAGCCTTGAGCTGAAGAGCTGAGGGACAGTGTGCCCAGGCCCAGAGTTCAGGCCCCACAACCGGACCAAAAAAAAGAAAAAAGCCAGGAGTGGCGCTGTGGTTCAAGTGGTAGAGCGCTAGCCTTGAGCTGAAGAGCTGAGGGACAGCGCCCAGGCCCAGAGTTCAGGCCCACGACCAGACCCCCTCTCCCCCCGCAAAAAAAGGAGTTCAAACTCACACATGCTCAGGGACTAGGGTGGTGGTCGGGTTGATGGGAGGTGAAGCTTGCTTCAGTAATGAGGGGAAAGTACACTTGTCTAAAGGTGATACTGACCAGATTTCCCCCTTTCCTCCTCCTCTGCTTTTTGGCCATACTGGTATTTGAACTCAGGGCTTTGTACTTGCTAGTCAAGTGTGCTACTATATGCCTCCAGTCCTTTCATGGCACTGGCTATTTTTGAGATGGAGTCTGAACTACAGCCTTATTTTTTTTTTGGGTCCGGTCGTGGGGCCTGAACTCTGGGCCTGGGCATTGTCCCTCAGCGCTTGAGCTCAAGGCTAGCGCTCTACCACTTGAGCCACAGCGCCACTTCCGGCTTTTTTCTTTTTGCTTATGTGGTGCTGAGGAATTGAACCCAGGGCCTCATGCATGCAAGGCAAGGGATCTACCACTGAGCCACCTTCCCAGCCCCCAGCCTTATTTTCTTTGTGTGTGTGTGTGTGTGTATGCGCACACGCACATGCGCATGCGTGCGTATATGCACACGTGCCAGTCCCACCTAAGGACTGAACTCAGTACCTGGCACTGTTTCTGAGGTTTTTTTGTTCAAGGCTAGAATTTTACCACTTGGGCCACAGCTATGACCCTATTTTCTGCTTCCTGCTCTAGCTAGAATGATATGCATGTGCCACCATACCCAGATTCTATTGAAATGGGAGTTTGTGGACTTCTGTCAGAGTTGGACTGGAACCATGATTCTACTGATGTCAACCTTCCACTAGTTGTATATCACCATGCCCAGCTATTAGATTATTACATCAGGGGTGGGTGATGGGAGGGTTTCCTCACAAACTCTATCTCAACCTGGCCTTTCAAGTAGCTAGAATTGGGCTGGGAATGTAGCTTAGTAGTAGAGTATTTGCCTAGTATGTGTGAAGCCCAGGGTTTGATTCTTCAATACCACATACACAGAAAAAGCCGGAAGTAGTGCTGTGCCTCAAGTGGTAGAATGCTAACTTTGAGCAAAATAAGCTCAGGGTCAGTGCCCAGGCCCTGAGGTCAAGCCCCAGGACTGGCAAAAAAAAAAAAAAAAAAAACCCAAATAAATCCAACACACACACACACACACACACACACACACACACACTAGCTAGAATTATAGGCACTGGCATCTGACTTGGCTCAGATCCTCTCTTTTTAAAGAGAATAGAGACTAGAAATTTTATGTAGCCTATCAATAAAAAAAAAAACAAAAAACAATAAAATACTTTGCTGGCCAAGCCAACTACATCTGTAGGCCAAATCAATACCATTAGGCTGTTCCAAAGTACTAACTTAATCCAAGCTAGTTCTCTTTGCTGACCTAGCCCATTTATCTTGCAGAGACCTTGAGGTTTAAGCACCGTAGTCTAGACAGAGATGGCTGCCACCTCCCCTCCCCCACTTGAGCAGAGAAGCATGGAAAGGCCCATGGGCCCTGGAACACATGCCGGGAGCTAGCTCTGAGTTGGATGGAGGGCGCTGGTACCTGGTCCGGTCTGAGGCGGCACTGCTGCTGCTACTGCTGCTGGACTCGGAGTCGGAGCTGCTCCGGGGAAGGTTGCAGTCATTGCGGTACACCAAGAAACTCTTCTTCACAGGCTGGTTTCCAGTGCTGAAGCCATTGGCTGGTAAGTCTTAGATGGAGGAGGGGGAGGAGGAAAGGAATCAGTCAGGAAGATGTAAAGCAGAACAAAAGGGTGAGAGGGACTGGTCCTCCAACTGTGGCCGGGAGCACTAGCTCTGGGCAGTGTCTACCACCATGGCCACAGCCCTGCCCCACCCCTTGCTTCCCTTGGCAGCTACTGGCCTTGGAACACAAATGGCTTACACAGCAGGAGATCCCCAAGGAAGGCGAGAAGAGAAAAGGTGAAGTGATACAACAGAGGGGCCCTGGACAGAAATCTAGACGGGTCTCAGTGTCTCTGGGTCTGTTTTCCCAACTAAGAAATGAGGGGATGGAATGCAAAGAACTGCTGAGGGCCCTTCTAGCTGTTTCTTTTATGGGAAAAATGAAAGGGTGGCTGGAGGTATGCTGGGAAGAATGGCAGCTCTGCTCATTCTTGGGGGGGTGGGGCGCTGGGTGATGGTGGGGCTCACCCATCGGGGGGTCTTCTGTGGACTTATCACTGTCGCTGTCTGAGCTCGAACTGGGCCGGGGGCTCCTACCCCGCTTGCGCTGACGCAGGGAGCCCATGACGGGGAGCTGGGGGGGCCCCACAGGACTGCCTCCGTGGCTGGGGGTCATCTGGCTCTCCCGGTTTTTTGGGGGGCGGCCCGGCCTCTTGGGCGGTCCAGCTGTCTTCGGGTTCTTTTTGGAGAACAGAACTGAGGTTCTCCTGCCCACCTCATGTGCGGGGGTTGAGGACATGTTGGGACCCAGGCCTGGAGCAGAGAAGGAGAGAAGGAGAGTTGGTGAGGGCCCGATGTGAGAAGGGCAGATGTCAAGGGCAGGACTTGGGGATAGAGGACCATTACTCCAGCTAGATGGGGAGGTATCTGGGGGACGTGGAACTCAAGACAGTGACTCATACAAACAGCCAGAGGAGGCAGCTAAGAGGCCCCTGATGGGGGATGAGGGAGAAAGCACAGCTAGCTCACAGGAAGGACCTCTGCCCAGGGGTGGCAGAGCCCAAGTCTGATGTGTTCTGTGGTCTATCTCGCTATGGGGTTCAGACCTTTGCTTGTCTCCTGGCTGCTGCTCTCCTCCGCCGCACTGTCTGTCTGGCCATCTTTGTCGCAGACTGCTGGGTGGGGTGTCAGACTGCTTCTGCTGGAGGGGCCATGCCGCTCAGACCCGTCCCGGCCAGTTTCCCGCTGGTGGGCCAGCTTCCGCCGCAACGCTGTCATCTCTTTCTTGATCATTTTCGCGCGCCGAGAGCGGCCCACACTCTGCTTGCTGGCATTGACCTCGTCCAGTCGCTCTAGCAACAACTTCAGCTGGTCTTCTACTGGCAGGTGCTTCTGGTTCTCCAGCAGGATCAGCCGCTCTTCCTCTGCTATTGCAAGGGTTGAGGGGAAAAAGTCAGGCTCATGGCAGCCCACTCAGCCCCTTGAACCTGGGCAGGCAGCAAGAAACCCACTCTTCCTCCCTTAGCTTCTCGCCAGGAACAGGTCTCAGTAAAATAGCAGCACCAAGATGCAGGATGGCAGGAACTGCTATGCATTCAGTCTGGCTTCTTGGGGAGCTTCCCTGGGAGTAGTTTGCTACTGTCCAGACTAGCTGTTACCTGCCTATACTGCCTGCTCCCAGGGGGGACTTTTGGAAAGCTGTTCTTCCCTGACACTGGCCTCTGTGTGTGCGTGTATAACTCATCACCCACCATCTTCAGGGTGGCGTGGGGCATCATCTCCAGGCAGGCTGTGGGGGACGTGCATGCCCGTCTCAAAGTCAATGCCCATTTTTTCTGCCTGACGCCGGGCCTGACGGAGCACAGCGCCGCCCTGCTCACGGAGCCGCACCGCTGCCCTGTAGAAGATGGTGTCCTTGGCGTTATACTTGAGGCAGTTGCTGACGATGAGGTTGAAGTCCTCCTCAAAGTCATCAAAGTTCAGGTAGCGGTACGCCTCCAAGTTTTGCTTCATGGTGAAAAAGTCCATGGGCTTTTTGATGTGGTCAAGGTAGTCAGGTACCTAGGAGAGCAGGGTGGGCGTGTCTTAAGTGGAGATATGCCCTCGTTCCCCAAACCCTGCTCCTAACACCCCCCCTCCCCTCGAGATGCATCCAGCAACCTCCTCCCACCAGTTAAGAGGCAGGCATGAAGCACAGGGGAAAGGAAAGCCAGCTTCTAGTCATCACTTTGCCAGTCCCAAGCTGGGTGACCTCGGCAAGCTTCTAAACCTGTCTGGGCCTTGTTTTCCTCTCCTGAAGATTGATCATGAAAAATACAGCACATCGACCTCCTAGAGCAGCGGGAGGCTTCTGAATTAAATGGCCAGGGGACTCCTCTAGAAACAACACCACCTGCATTCCTGCTGCTCTGTATACTTAGCGTTAAAACGTACAAGAGGCACTGCCTCAGGCCTCTCATTTTATACCTTTCAGAGAGAAGAGTCTGCCAGTCAGGACCTAGGGCTTCAGAGCTGGTTCTTTAGGTGCTGAGCCTCTTAAGTCTCCGTTCTAGGGTTCAGCACCCCGAAAGTGTCTTCCTGCCCTGGGGTTATTCATTTGGCAGACTCAGCCCTGCCTCTGGGGAAGGAGTGCAGACTGCCTCCCATTCTGGGCCTTGGGGTGGGACAGGGACAAGACAGAGTCCAGGTGATACATGTGGCTCCAGTTCATCCTGCCCCAGAGCCACCAGCCCCTCTCTTCAAGGGCCCCGCCTAGTCCCTGGCCCAGACCTGCAGCAGGGGTCCAACTGGGAGAGGAACAGAAAGAAGATGGAGTGAGGGGAAGGGATTCTTACTTCGTCCAATTCGGTTACCTCAGACAGAGGGACCGGCTCGCTGAAGATGTTGCCCGTGTCCTTCTCTTGGAGCTGCTCCAAGGTTTTGCGAAGGAGGATGAGGAAAGGCGTCAACTGCATCTCCATGGCAATCTGCTGGACCTTGATCTGACACATAAAAGAAGACTTGATCAGCCAGAGCCAGGCCCAGCCAGGCCAGTCTCTTGGCAAAGAGGTCTGAAGAGATGATCCCTGTTGGCTTAGAAACTTGCCTTCATTTTCCATCCCCAAGGCTGGGGGTGTTCCCTCAGGTCTGTCTACCCTCTGCAGGAAGATGTCCCCCAGCTCCTGGCCTTCCCTTCGGCTCCTAGCATGTGCCAACTGGGTCACCTGCCAGGGTTCTGTGCACACCCTCCTGCCACATACTGCTTCCTGGAGGCCTGACAGCACTGGGCACAAGGCCACGTAGGACACATGCTCCGCTGTGAAACCAGGGCCGGCCCAGGAGCACTCACCGTCTCCCTCTTGAGTTTCTCCCGCTTTCGGATCAGTTCTACCAGCAGCCGAGCTCGCTCTAGGTCATGCCGGAGCCGCTGCCAGGACTTGAGCTGTTCCTTAAGGGCCCAGTTCTTATCCTCAGAATCTCTCTGCAGAAGCAAAAGGGGGATCAGGAAATGAAGAGAAAGCCAGAGAGGAGGCCAGAAGAGAGGAACATCATCCTGGGAACTTGGGTCAAGAGCAGATCAAGTTAAAGGAGAGCACAGAATTTATTGATAGCTCCTCAAGCTGTCTGTCTCCAGGATGTGGCAATGAGTAAATGCTCATTGTGTTTGCTAAACGAGTGAATGAACACATAGGAACAATGCCTTTCCGTTCAGCTGATCAGTGTATTAAGATTTCATTCTGAGCCCCATTCGAGGACTAGTTTAAAGGAAGAAATATCATAAGCCCTCTGACAAGTGCAAGGCTCAGCCCTCATCATTTTGGCACTAGTTTCCATAGTCCACAGGGAATTGGGACACGGTACCCCAACTTGGTCACAGTTCCTCTGAGACTGTAGGTGTGTCTGCAGGCGCCTCAACAGCGGGACCCCGTTCCGTGACTGGCGCTTCAGTGTCCAGTAGCTGTGCAGCCTCTGCATGAACTGGCTCTTCCGCTGGATGGTCAGGCGGTTGGTGATTTTACTGAGTCTGGGAGATAGGGACAAGGAGAAGAACCTTTTGAGTCTTGAGTCTCTAAAAAAGGATCTGTGACCAATGACAGCAGCTCCTTAAAGGGGACAAACAGGGACTATGTCTCCTGTAACAAGGCTGGGGGAGAGGGCCTTGAAGCAGAGTGGTGCCACCAAGCTTTCAACACTAAGTCAGATCTCTACTTGTACGCCAGTGGCCACTGCAGCCTAGGGTACTATTTGACCCTGGGATCCCCCCACTCAGCTTGAGCCTTTGAAGGTGTCATGGTAAAGTATGTGTACTTTACTTCTTGGCTAAGATCAAATGAGCTATATTACAGCTGCAGCAGAAACTTAGAAAGAATCAGCCAAATAGCACAAGAAAGTGAACAATGATGGACCACAGCCCAGATGAACAGCAGGTTACATTCCACTTTTTGGGGGTGGCGATGGTGGTACTGAGGATTGAACCCAGGGCCTTGTACAGGCTAGGCACGACTCTTCCACTGAGCTACACTTCAGCCTTGTCTTCCCCACTTTTCACTTCTCTTCCATAGTCAGACCTGTTTTTTCCCTCCCATTGTGGCTGTTCCATCCTTTCTTCCTAACTTAAACCACCCTGTCAAAATGAACAGTTCAAAACATCTGTTAGGTTTGCCAAGTAAAAGTTAAGTTCTGGCTCCTAGGGAAAAGCTGGGTGACTTACTTAACATAACCTCTTTTGAATTTAACTTTACTTCTATGCAGCTTCTGACAGGAAAAATACAACCCCGTCTTGCCCCTCCACTCAAGGGCCTGGCAGTTCCTCTCTAGAGAGCTGCTTCATCCCTTACCTGCCCATCCAACTGCCCAGCCCACATACCTGTGCGGTGGGATGCAAGGCACTGACACCACAGGTGCGGCTGCCCGCTTCTCTGCCAATATCTTCCTTGCTTTCTTCATCTTGATCCGGGACTTGGCCTTGGCCTTCTTGACCTTCTCTGAGCTCCAGCCTTTACCCTCATCTTCCTCTTCCTCCTCATCCTCGTCACCTTCACTGTGGGACAGGGCAGGCAGGCGGCGGGCAGAGCCTGGGGGGGTGTGGATGTCGCAGTAGGCGGTCTTGCGGACGCTGAAGGAGGTGCCATTGGCGCCCGTCTCCCGGACAGGCTCCATTTTCATGTAGAGGCCGGCCTGCTGGGCACATGTCACGTGGAAGGCTGTGTAGCAGTTGGCCTTGTGGCACTGGATGCAGGCCCCGGAGCCCCGCTGTTTGCAAATGTAGCAGGTGAGCTTCCAGCGGGCTGGGGGGATGTGTTCGATGCTGTCAATAGGCTCTAGGAAGACCGTGTTGGCAAAGCAGACCTCGGGGATCCACAGGGCACACACCACATGGGCCCAGCGCCCGTCATCGGTCTGCTTGAAGGCACCGCCCTTGTTGGGGCACAGAGCACAGTCCACTGCTCGAGAGGGTGACTGCAGGCATCGGCGGCACAGCCACTGGCCCTCGGGAATGTAGGGGACGCCGTAGCACTCCTGGTGCACGGCCAGGTTGCACATGTCACAGAAGAGGATGACATTGCTGTTCTGGCACTCGCCGTCGTTGCAGATGCAGCACACGGCGTCTTCATCCACTAGTGCATTGGGGTCACCTTTATTGTGACTCTCGAAGTAGGACTCCTTCTCCAGTCGGTCCATTAGGTACTCAAAGATCTCCTGGGGGATGGGACTCACGCCCTCAGTCTTCCGCCGCTCATTCATGATATCTAACCAGATGTAGTCCTCCTCGTCCATGTCGTATTCCACTTCCTCATCCAGCTCCTCGGCAGACTTCTCGATGTACCTGCGTGCGCACCAGCGACTCAGCATCACACGGCCGGCACTTCTCTCCCGCCCTCAGCTCTACCCCAGCCTCTATAGATACCAGGGTCTTTCCTGGTTTGTAGAAAAGGGGCCTGAGGCTGGGGGAAATTAATGCATCTGCCCACCTGACTGGTGAGAAAGCAGCAGAGCTGCGTGCGAACCTGGGCCTGCCTCTCCGAAGCGCCTGTCCCCAAAGCTGCCACGACACCACCTCCCCTGGGTTCCAGAGGCGTAGACAGGCTCGCGAAGAGCGGGCGTTTGGGGCAGCTAAGGGCTATGTGATAGTCTGGTCATGGAGAGGAGTCAGGGGAAGAAAGGTACTTGGCTATCTATCACTGTCAAATTACACATAAACCATTTCAGCAAAGGCTGACGCCCTTGACTCTTGCTGCCAGGGGCTTTCTTCATCCAGAACAGTACCAGCTCAGGGTTCCCGCCATCTTCAGGCACTATGTTGGTTTTCTGAATAGCCTGGACGGATAGCAATCATAATAGCTAAGAATCACTGAGCACTTACTATAAGCTAGGCATTGAACTAAGCCTCAACACACTCAATGCTCTTTCTTACTGTCTTTATTAAGGAAACTGTAGCTTTGAGAAACGAAACCTTCCAATAAGACAGGTCACCCAGATAGTGACCGGCAGTGGCGGCATCCAATCTCCAGCACCACACTGTTCGTCGCCACCCTACAGCACCCGTGAAGCCCCAGGCCTGGAGCAGAGAGCTGCTGCAGGCAGCTGGGACACAACACGGCAGCCACAAGCTAGCCATGCTCCTGGAGTCTGGACTCATATCGTAACTGCAACGGAAGAACAGGAATTCAACTTCTAACCTGGATGTAAATCCTGACTCTGCCACTTTGTGATCTCTAAAACAGCACTGCTACCCTCCGAACCTGTTTGACTGATAGAATGAGGATAATGTCACCTACTTAGAAAGATGCTGCCAGGATTAAATGGCATCACAAAAATGAACAGCCTCAAACAAGTGGCACAGAGCTGGCACCAGCAAAATGTAGTTCCTGTCCCTACCCTCCACTTGCTAGAAGGGAAATGGGCTGAGCCAGCCAGGTGCACAAGGCTCTGGGCCAGGGGATGGGATGGTGGCTCAGTGGTAGATCGCTTGCCTTGCATGCATGAGGCCCTGGGTTCGATTCCTCAGCACCACATAAGCAAAAAGAAAAAAGCTGGAAGTGGTGCTGTGGCTCAAGTGGTAGAGCGCTAGCCTTGAGCTGAAGAGCTGAGGGACAGCGCCCAGGCCCAGAGTTCAGGCCCCATGACTGGACCCCCCAAAAAAAACAAACAAAAAAACCAAGGTTCTGGGCCATATAGGATGGACAACAAGTATGTGAGCTGAGGTTCTCTGGGCCTTGTTTTCTTCAATGGCACAGTGTTAGTGCTCATGTCAACTAATTTCACACTGCTGTTGTGAGCATGAAATGACTTAATATAGGTGAAGTGCTTAGTGTAGAACAATATTGAATAAGTATTAATCTTTTTTTTTTTGCCAGTCCTGGGCTTGAATTTAGGGCCCTAGGCACTATCTCTAAGCTGCTTTTGCTGAAGGCTTGCACTCAAGCACTTGAGCCACAGCACCACTTCTGGCTTTTTCTGTTTATGTGGTACTGAGGAATCGGACCTGGGGCTTTGTGCATGCTAGCAAGCACTCTACCGCTAAGCCACATTCCCAGCCCTCAACATTAACCTTATTATCATCTTTCAAATAGACTTGACCTGCCTTGTCTTGCAGTATGGCTGTGTGTGTGTCTAACTCCTCTACTACAGGGCAGGGGCCAGGATTGAGTCTGCATCACCACACAGAAAGAAGTGCTCAGTAGCGCTCAGTTGGAAGGCATGTGGGTGGCAGGGAAGAGACAGAATGAACGCATCTGCAGGAAGCGGCTTCCTCGCTGGCCCTTCACCTCTTCCCCAGGGTGAGTGCAGCCTGCACTCTGAGCAAACGTATGACTCAGCGCTGGTGTGAACTACTTGGAGCCTCCCAGGACTTGCACCACTCTTAAGTACCACGCCTCACCCTTTCCTCTGCCACGACACACGTGACATTGGGTGTCATTATGTATGTAACATACACCCCAGGCTCCCAGAATACAGGCTGTGGCACAGATTAGGTAGGCTGAATGTCATGTACAATTCCTGACACTGCAGCTGACGTGTCACCTCCCCCTCCCCGCTAAGGAAGCATATTAGAATGCACACAACAAAAAGTGATCTCAAGTTTATAAAGCACTTCCAAAACTTGGGGAATTTTGCTAACTGGGGTAATTCCATACAACACCGCCCTCCCCACCCCCCCACTAACTGCAACTCACAATAGCTAAGACCTGCTCCCCTGAGAACAGAGCTTCTCCCCAGGAGGAAAGAATGAATCTGAGTGGAGGGAGGAAAAAAAAAAAAAAAAACAGAGAGATAAACTGGGAGTACTAAAGTCACTAAGAGGGACCAGATGCCCAAAAAAGGATCCATGTTTGGGAGTGGGAGAATGGGCATGGTGCTAATTAGACAGGGCTAAACTGGTCTAAACTGACACAAGAAGAGAGGAAGAGGGAGATGAAGACTCAAGTGAGGAAGAAAGCAAGAGGAAACACACTTACCACTGAGTCCCTACACATCTGCCTTTAAGGAACTGAGATTTCATAACTTCATGTAGACTGCACTTTGGTAAAAACAACTTCATAAACAGGGTGCTGGCGGCTCCCACTTGCAATCCTAGCAACTCAGGAGGCTGAGACTTATCTCTAACCACCAAAGAGCTAAAGTGGAACTGCAGCTCAAGTGGTAGTGTGCTAGCCAGGACCCAGTACCTTCAAGCCTCAGGACTGGTGCAAAAAACACAAACTAATATCCTGATTTTTACATGTGAGCCTTTATGACAAATCCTTTTCAAACATCAGACCTTCTGGTCAAGTGACAAAAAAACACTCAACAAACTCATCAGAACCTTCTCTTTTCCTTGGAGGCCAAGACTCTAAGAAAGACGTTTCAATAAATTGTGTAACTTAGGCTTGGAATGTGGCTTAGTGGTAGAGTGCTTGCCTAGCAGGCATTGAAGCCCTGGATTCAATTCCTCAGTACTACATAAACAGAGAAAGCCATAAGTGGCACTGTGCAAAAGAAGCTCAGGGATAGTGCCCAGGCCTTGAGTGCAAGCCCCAGGACTGGCAAGCCAAAACCAAAACCAAAAACTGTGTAACTTGTGGACAGGGACAAGAGGCTACTGGGGGAAAGTGAAGGAAGGGGTGACATTATCCAAAAAAAGAAATGTACTCATTACCTGGCTTATGAAATGGTAACCCTTTTAGTACAACACCTTACTAAGAACAATACTTAAAAGAAAAAAAGGGTTTCACATTTACTTTCTTGCTATCCTTCAGCTATGATTTTTTTTTTTGTCAGTGGTGGGGCAAGAACTCTGGGCCTGGGCGCTGTCCCTCAGCTCTTCAGCTGTAGACTAGCACTCTATCATTTGAGCCTCAGCCCCACTTCCAGCTTTTTCTGCTTATGTGGTGCTGAGGAATCGAACCCAACGCCTCATGCATGCAAGGCAAGCGCTCTACCACTGAGCCACCTTCCCAGCCCCCATCAGCTATGATTTCTGAATGTAGTTTTACCACCACACTACTGTTCCTGCCACTTAGTTTACCTTATGCTAAAGCAATTTAGCCTTATAATGTCTCTTTTTAAATAGAGGAGTTACTGTGATCAAGTAAATGTTTAAGAAGAAATGAGATACAAAGTAAAAACTAAAGGAAATCAAGGGCCACTGGAGAAGCAATGGAACTACTGCTTACACATACTAAAAGACAGATGACAATCATAGAACAAATAGGGAGAAAATGGCCTTTGCAGACTTACAAGCTGCTTTTAGGACACAGTGAAATGAATGACTATTACATTCTACTGGCTCTGCAGATGGGATCTCTAGTCGGCTATGATTCCCAAGGTCACACAGTGAGAAAGGAGATTTTTCTTTCCAGCTCTAGAAAAACCAGAGGGGACTGGGTCTGAGTTCCTATGGGCCTGTGACTTTTGACAGGTCTGGACACTTTCTTCCTTTTTTTTTTTTTGGGTCCGGTCATGGGGCCTGAACTCTGGGCCTGGGCACACTGTCCCTCAGCCCTTCAGCTCAAGGCTAGCGCTCTACCACTTGAGCCACAGCGCCACTTCCGGCTTTTTTCTTTTTGCTTATGTGGTGCTGAGGAATCGAACCCAGGGTCTCATGCATGCAAGGCAAGCACTCTACCACTGAGCCACCTTCCCAGCCCCTATATATATATATGTATATATATATATATATAGGGTCCAGTCGTGGGGCCTGAACTCTGGGCCTGGGTGCTGTCCTTCAGCTCTTCAGCTTAAGACTAGCACTCTACCACCTGAGCCACAGCGCCACTTCTGTTTTTTTTTTCTTTTTGCTTATGTGGTGCTGAGGAATCGAACCCAGGGCCTCATGCATGCAAGGCAAGTGCTCTACCACTGAGCCACTTCCCAGCCCCTGTCTGGACCACGGCTTCCTTATCTTTGCAAAGAGAATACCTGCCTAAAAGGTGTGAGAATAAAGTAAGGTAATGACTGGAAAGCAGTGAATGCAGGACCTGACACGTGGCTGTGCAGGCTAAATGCCATCCTCCACAGAGGGCCAGTTCTTCTCACTGTCCTGGCAAGACAGTGCTATCCTTTATCCCTGCCACTCTCCTATCTACTTGGCTCTCTGGCTCCGGAGGCCTGCATGACCAGTTCTCCGGTCGTGGGAGGTGGGGGCGGCCTTACCGGTAATAGGAAGTGGGCCGGGGCGGGGCGTCAGGGGTGTCCTGCTCCAGCTCTCGGTACACCACCTCTGGCAGCTTAGGAGCAGTGCTGGCTGGAGCATTGTGGTGGTGATGGTGGTTGGAGTCCTTCCGTTTCTCCTTGTTCTTATGCTTGCCAGACTTGGGCGTAGCTGCAGGTGTCTCTGTGTTCTCCTTGTTGCTGCCATTCTCAGGGGCCTCCTCAGGAGCTTCCTCGTCCTCTGATACCACATCCAGGTTGTCAAAGATGCTGATGCGGTGTACTCGGCCATGCAGGTCTACCTCCACCATGCGCTGGGCCTGCGCATAGCTCATCACCTCACGGCCAGGTGACTGAGATACCTCCGAGGGGCTGGGTGACTGCTTGTTAGCTGGGCGTGACTGGCGACCCTTCTTCTTGTGCTTGCGGAGGGGCGTCTGCTGCGGGGGTGGCGGGTTGTCATGGTCGTAGTGGTACAGGTGGTACTCAATACCACTGTAACTCTTGTATACTTTGCGGCAGGTCTCCACAGGGCACTCGTACGGAGGCTTAGTTGCCCGCAAATTGTGGCAGAAAGTCTTCACATCAAAGTCCACCCCCATGCTGTCACATCTGGAAGACACAGATCAGTCAGCGCAGGCCTGAGAAAGAGTCCCCAGACTTTTACACCACAGACGCCACTCTCGCATCTTCCTTCCTTCTCCACAAGGGTCACCAACCTCTGGTCCACTTACTTTTTGTCTGTGTGTCCCTCGTGGGCTTGAACTCGGGGCCTGGGCACTGTCCCTGAGCTTTTGTGTTCAAGGCTAGTGCTCTACTACTTGAGCCCCAGCTCTCCTTCTGAACCATACCTTTAACCATCTCCAGTGCTCTACCAAGGCCTTGGTCTGGGCCCTCTTGACCTCTTGGTCATTCTGCCTACATCTAGTTTCTTTAGCTCAATCTCACATAATGTGAGCTGAGATATTTCTACAAAGTAGCAATGTTTACTCCCATCTTCAGACTGAAAGCCTCCTGACCATCCAGTTTCTTTAGGATAAAGTCTAAATTCTCCTGGACAACACTTGTTCACTTTCTCGCCCTTGTCTTCCTTTCTAGATTATTCTCACTATTGCAGTACTTTCTATCTCCACAACGCAACTTGCCATCCCCTCAGTCATAACCTCTCAGTGTGGGAGGCGGTCTGCAGGAGGAAGGCCTCTAGTCTCTCTGAAGGGTGGGCTGCCATTCATTCTTCAAAAGACTTCTGTCATGACTCCTCTGTCACTCCTCCAGCACAGCATTTACCACACTGGAAGTTCTTTGTCTCCTCCCACTAGACGGAGGGCTGGGCAGTAGATACCAGAGCTGTCTGTCCATTTCTATCTCCCCAGTACTTAGCAATGGATTCAACACCTGGTTTCCAACAAATGAATGAAAATCTGTTGAATGAGTAACTGAATGAGGGAATCACCAGATTCTAGGGTTGAGAAGAATGGGGTGAAGGCTCTCCTCAGCTCCTGTAGAAGCTTTAACCAGTAGTCAATGATTTAGTCCTGGACTCCAGCAATCACTGTATAACAGAATCAGTTTCTGAGATCTTTCTGGGGCGCTCTGGAGGCAGAGATGTAGACCCAAAGAAAAACTGAGATCACTTAGCTGAGGACTACAAAATACATTAGCGTTCCTCATTCACCTACTCCTGCAATATTAATGGAAGACCTACCAAGTGCCAGGTCCTAAGGGTACAAACAAGAACATGACCATCTAGGCAGCATCAGCTCCAGGCTGGTTCCTTTCCCAACGCGCCTGGGTAAGAAAAGGTAGCAGATGGCCTCAAACCCCAGGACGCCTAGCTGGTCAGAGACTGGCCCAATTTCTCTTGGCCTAGTTGAGTTCAACTAGGAACTTGGCACCACCCCAGGGAGAGAGCCACCGGAGCTCCCGAGAAAACGTTGAGCCCTCTTTGGCCTCTCTCCTCGCGGGCTCCAGCCGGCAAGTGGGCTCCTCCAGCCCCGAGGTCAACATCCCCCGACTGCTACAACCCTAGCGCTACACCTTCAACCGACCGCCTACCGGGAGCTGCGTCTTTAAACACAAACCCGCTACAGAGACGCAAACAAGCTCTCCTCCTGCCAAGGAGGGTCCCAGGTGAACGCTGCGACTCTGGCTCTGGCTGCCCCGGTTCCCCAAGTGGCGTCGGGGCCCCGAGGGCGCCCACTGGGACTCGGCGGCAGAGGCACACGGGTGAGACGACAACGCGGATCGGAAAGCCCACGGGGAGAGTCCGGGGCTCAGCCTCCCCAACTCCAGAGCACAGGGTGCGGGGAGGAAGCGGGAGGAAGTAGGGGCGGGGTGGGGCGGGGGGCCAGGCCCGACCCGAGCTGCCCCGCAGCCCCGACGCCCGGAGGCGGCGCCGCTTCCCCTTTGTCACAAAGTTGGAAAGTTGGAGGCGGTTCCGCTGCTGCCCCCGGCCCCGAAGGGCCCGCGGCCGGCGGGGCCGCGGCTGCGGGCGGCCGCCCCGTCAGCTCCCGCGGGGAGGCAGGCCCCGGGGAGCGGGCCCGAGCGCTCCGCGACGGCAGCCGACCCTTCCCGGCCCTCCCGCGGCCCCCACTCACCGGCCACCTCCAGGCGGGGTTCATCGCCGGGGCGCCCGCCGGGGCTCCGACCCCGATCGGGGAGGTCGGCGGGAAAAGACCGGGCGGGAACAGGGGGGGAGTCCCCCCACTCCGGAGACGGCGGCGCTCGCCGCCGCGGCCCCGGCCGCCCCACGCTCGGGCCCCGCTGCCCGGAATTCCCGCGCGGACCCCGGCCGCTCCCGGTCCCGCCGGCGCCCCAGTGTCTAAGCCGGCCGGCCGCCGCCCGGCCGGGGCGCCCCGAGGTTGCCGGGTCTGGGGCCCGGCGCCGCCGGAACAATGGGGGCTCCGGAGGCGGCGCGGGGACGGCGGCGGGGACCGTCGCGGTGAAGGCAGCGGCGGCGGCGGAGGCGGCGGCGGCGGCGACGGCGTCGGCTCAGGTAAACGCGGCGCGGCGGCGCGGCCCGGAAGCACTTTCGCCACGCATCCCCGCCCGCCCGCGGAGCCCCGAGCGGCCCTCCTCCGCACTTGCGACGGCCCAGGCTCCCCACAGAACTCGCCCAGCACCTCCACCGCACCGTCGAGCTTCGGGCGTCCGAAGAGACAGGATCTGGGGGATCCCGCGTCCTCCGGCCGTTTGTGGCGAATCTGCGGGCACAGAGTGTGAGCGCGGGGCTGGGCGTGCAGAGCCCGCCCTTCTCCCCTCCCCCTCCGCCTCTTCCCTCCTACTTCCTCCCCCTGCCGGCGCCCAGGCTGCGGTGGGGACCCGGCCTTGGTCTCCGAGGAAGGCGGCGAGGTGGGGCGGGGCCGGGGGCGGAGCCCGGAACTGGAGCCCGAGGGGCGGGACTGTGGGCGGGCCCTGAGACGAAGGGGCGGGGCCACGCCTCAGCCCGGGCCCAGTCAGGACTCTGTGGGCGGGCGAATACAGGGACCAACCGTGGAAGTAACCGGGAAGAGAGGACCACGAGAGAGCAAGGGTGGAGCTTTAGAAGGCTGTGGAAAGGCGGAGCTGGACTGGGGATAAAGACACTGCTGGGAAAAAGCAGCGTGAGGCTGGAGGCGCAGGTGCAGGGGAGTGGAAGGGGAGGCAGGGTGTGTGGAAGGGGGAAGGTGTGGGTCTGAAGACCAGGGGAGGAGCTGCGGCTGCTGGTGGGCCTTGTGGAAGGGTTTGGGTAGCAGAGGTGAGATTCAGGACCTAGGAACCTGTGGGTTGGGAGAGTGCAGCATGGTTGGTGGAAAGTGATGTCAAACAGGCAGATGTACCCTAAACTACATTTACCGGCTCTGTTACTGTAGGCAAGTTGCTGAATTCTTCCCTTCCTTTATTTTAAAGTACAGATCCTTTAATCTGCACATTGAGACTTTCTCTTTGGTTCATCTAAACCCCAGCCACAAAAAAGAAAAAAAAAATGAAACCTTAACTAATACCAAAAAGCAATGGCAAACTACGGTTCTAATCTCCATTGCAAAGTATGGTGTACATTCTTACTCAATTGTGTTTTATTTATTGGCCATTCCTGGGGCTTGAACTCAGGGCCTGGGCACTGTCCCTGAGCTTCTTTGTGCTCAAGGCTAGCTCTCTACCACTTGAGCCACAGCACCACTTCTATTTTTTTTTTTTTTTTTGCTTATGTGTTACTGAGGAATTGAACCCAGGGCTTCATGCATGCTACACAAGCACTCTACCACTAAGCCACATTCCCAGCCTAAATAATTTTATATCTTATTGTTATTATAAAGGTGATATGAGGGGGTTGCCCTTTTTTTTTTTTTGCTGGTCCTAGGGCTTGAACTTAGGGCCTAGGCACTGTTCCTGGAGCCTCTTTGTGCCCAAGACTAGCACCACTTGAGCCACAGCAACACTTCTGGATTTTTCTGAGTAACTTGCTGGAGAAAAGAGTCTCATGGAATTTCCTGCCCTGGCTAGTTTTGAATCTCAGTCCTCAGATCTCAGTCTCCTGAGTAGCTCTGATTACAGGCATGAGATAGCAACTCCTAACTTACGGTTTCTTAAGTTAGGTAATGAGTACTTTTTTTTTTTTTTTTTTTTTGTGGGTGGTGGGGCCTAAACTCTGGGCCTGGGCACTGTCCCTGAACACTCTTCAGCTCTAGGCGGGCGCTCTACCGCTTGAGATACAGCGCCACTTCCGGTTTTCTGGTAGTTAATTGGAGATAAGAGTCTCATGGACTTTCTTGCCCTGCAGTCCTCAGATCTCAGCCTCCTGAGTAGCTAGGATTATAGGCGTGAGCCATCAGTGCCCATCAGTCCCTGAACTTTTTTGCTCAAAGGTAGTAGTCTACCACTTTGAGCCACAGCACAGCACCACTTCTGGTTTTCTGGTGGTTCATTGTACATGAGAGCCTCACAGATTTTCTGCTGGGGCTGGCTTTGAACATGATCCCCAGATCTCAGCCTCTTGAGTAGCTAGGATTACAGGTGTGAGTCACTGATGCCACTGATGCCTTTTTTGTTTGTTTGTTTTTTTCCTTAAACTATTTTCTTCTTAGGTCAAGAATCTTTTTGAGAAGCTGGGCACTGGTGGCTCACATTTGTAATCCTAGCTACTCAGGAGGGTGAGATCTGAGGATCGCAGTTCAAAGCCAGTGCAGGCAAGAAAGTCCGTGAGACTCTTTTTTTGTTTTATTTTTGGTCGGTCGTGGGGCTTGAACTGTGGGCTTGGGCGCTGTCCCTGCGCTCTTCAGCTGAAGGCGAACGCTCTATCATTTGAGCCACAGGGCCACTTCTGTGAGACTCTTATCTCTAATTAACCTCCAGAAAACCAGAAGTGGCCCTGTGGCTCAAGTGGTAGAGCACTACCCTTGAGCTGAAGGACAGTGCCCAGGCCCAGAGTTCAAAACCCACAACCGACAAAAAAAAAAAAAAAATCCCTTTGAGAATCTAATGAGAGTTATATATCTGTCTCCTGAGAATAACACACACACACACACACACACACGCACACACACAGAGTATTTCTTTTTTTTTTTTTTTTTGTCGGTCGTGGGGCTTGAACTCTGGGCCTGGGCGCTGTCCCTCAGCTCTTCAGCTCAAGGCGAGCGCTCTACCACTTGAGCTACATACAGCGCCACTTCTGGTTTTCTGGTGGTTTATTGGAGATAGGAGTCTCACGGTCTCTCCTGCCCAGGCTGGCTTTGAACCGCGGTCCTCAGATCTCAGCCTCCTGAGTAGCTAGGATTACAGGCGTGAGCCACCAGCGCCCGGCCAGAGTATTTCTTATTAAAATATTTGTAATATCTGAAGAAGTGCTTGGCCGAAGCCATCCTTCCTCACTCCTGTTAGTATGGCCCTTGGTCTTCCTGGTCTTTCCCCCCCAAGACCCATGACACAGAAGCAGAGTAAAGATCAGCTTTATTATTGGCATGAAGGCAGGGAGGCGGTAACAGTGCCAGGCCCTTCTGCAGTCCGCGGGGTAGACACGTTGTCAGCCAGCACTGGTCCACTGGGCTGGCCCTCCCAGTGAGGCCCAGGATCCAGGTGCCTCTGGCTGTCAGCAGGGGATGAGCAGACAAGCAGATGGCGAGGTATCGGATATTTGAACTCCTCAAGGCTGATCTGGACCTGTGGTGGGGCTGGGGTTGGCAGGTGGTGGGGGCCGAGGCTGTATGTCCCTCGTGCGCATGTAGGACAGAAGCTGCTCAGGGATCTCAGCCAGCACATCCTTGGCCAGTCGGGCCATGCTTAGAACCTGGTTCCCCGATCGGTCAACATAGTCTCGGAATGGGACAAACTAGAACAGACAGACAGGAAGCTGTGAGCCATGGCCAGAGGAAGGTGTAGCAGGGAGGTTTCACCTTCAGTCCTTAACATCTCTTTCCAAGTATCGCACTATCCCTCTCCCTTCATCTTGGACAGTTTTCTGTATTTGTTTTATTCTTTTTTTTTTTTTTTGGGTCCGGTTGTGGGGCCTGAACTCTGGGCCTGAGCGCTGTCCCTCAGCTCTTCAGCTCAAGGCTAGTGCTCTACCACTTGAGCCACAGCGCCACTTCCGGCTTTTTTTTCTTTTTGCTTATGCGGTGCTGAGGAATCGAACCCAGGGCCTCAGGCATGCAAGGCAAGCGCTATACCACTGAGCCACCTTCCCAGCCCCTGTATTTGTTTTATTCTTGCCCACTTTGTTTTCACCTTCTGTCCCTCCTCAGCTCACTCTAATTTGGCTTTGTGTAGTCCACTGAAATACTCCTACTGATGTAGTTGCATGTTGCTAAGCCAGAAGAGCAGACAAGAGTTTTTTGGGGTTTTTTAATCTTGCTGGACTTCTCTTTTGTCTTCCAGTACATTTCCACGTAATCATGAACACATGCCACTCTTACTTATGCTCTTCTGATTTTCCTCCTACCTTCCCAGAAGCTCCCCTCCAGGAAGCAGACAGATTCCTTTAAAATGCAGGTCTGACAGTCTTGTTGACTCATGTCAAGTCCTTCAAGAGCACTGACAAGGCTCCTTCCTCTAGCTCAGTAGATCCTGTTACCCGGCTTGGAGCCCCTGGGACTTCTCAGAGGCTGCTTCTCTGCCCGTAAGACTTAGAACTCCTTCAGGACTCAGCTCAAATGTCACTTCCTCACACAGCCTTCCCTCATCTCCAAGCCAGATTCCCTACTATGGGCTGTATTTATAATGGCATTGGCTATTCCTCTGAGGGCAATTAACACCATCACAGCAAGGGTTTAGCTTGCTGATTGTCTATTACCTGTTGCCTCCACTAGAGGGCAGGGACCTTGGAGATCTATGCCATAGATCCACCAAGCAGAAGCAACCTTATCAAATGAATGTGGAAGGATGAGGAAAGTAAGGAAGGTGGCTGCTACTTAGCCTCTCCCTCCTCCCCATCAGGCCTACCTGAACAATGTCCCGCTCTGCGTAGCGCCCCCTGGAGGACACACGCACATCATCACCATCCAGTTCTTCCATTGCTGCAGGAAAGACACCCTTTGACTGACTCTGGCCAACCCCTTCCCTCTTAGCTGTCCTCCAGAGTCACCATGGGAATGTCTACAACGACTTGCTTTATGGAATTATCAACATCATTACTAGTAAATCTACTCTCCTACAAACTTGACAAGAGGAAAGGACCAGTATCACGAGCCTTGGTTATGAAGAAGAAACGAGGCTGGGAAGGTTTGTGACTTAGCCAGGATCCCACAGAGATATCTGTGCACCCTGACGTTTGAGGTGGACCTGAGTGCCCAGACCCCTCCTGTTCTCCCCAGTTCCCAGTCCTCTCCATTCTACTCACCCTCAAACATA